TGCGACTCATCATTTTAAATTAAGTGTTAAAAAAAAGTCCTTCAAATGAAGTTGAGAAGACATATAGAGTTCCTTATGTATCAATAATGGGCAATTTGATGTATGCAATGATATGTACAAGACCAAATATTGCACATGTTGATATAGTCAGTCGATTTTTGTGCAATACAGGTAGAAAACATTGGAATATTGTGAAATTGATTTTGAGGTATCTTCATGGTACTAGGATTTGACACTTTGTTTTAGAGGTGATAAGGCTACTCTGATAGGTTAGTCAAGCTCAGATATGACTGAAGACATTGATTTTAAAAAGTCTACTTCAGGATATTTAATTACGTTTATAGGGAAAGTTATGACTTGACAATCAAATTGCAAAAGTGTGTAGCACTGTCTATTATAGAGACAAAGTTTATTGTCATTACAGAAACATGCAAGGAATTGTTATGGTTGTAGAAATTTTTGCAAGAGCTTAGTTTTGTACAGAACAACTATCAATTATTTGTGGACAATTAAAGTGATATTCATCTTGATAAGAAACCAACTTTTCATTTTAGGTCTAAACATATGGATTTCAGGTATCATTGGATACGTGATGTTTTAGATGCTAAGTTGTTGAAGTTATATAAAGTTCAAAAAAATGAAGATGGTGTCGACTAAGACATTGGCAAAGCAAAAGTTTGAGGTTTGCTTTAAGATCATCAGATTGGTAGTCACCACCACACAATTGTGAGAGAGGAGATGTGTTGAGTTGCAATTGTGTCTAAAAAGTTCAAATTAGTCAAATTCATTTTACCTCATTTAACCTATCTAAGTTGAGAGGAGTCTTCTAAGTTAAAATAGAGAAGATAAATTTTTCCAACCATTAGAAGAGAAAATTGTTTGACTTATTTACCTATTTGCCTCAATAAAATTATGATTTATGCTTAGTTTATAACAATGACGGATCTTCTTGGGAGCTGAGGAGGGTCATGGCCCCCTCCATAGTTTTGTAACTCCCATGTAATTTATGATTTTGACCCCCCAAACTTAATGAACATTTAATATATTTACTTGTATATTTACAATTTTATCCTCTTAGCCCCTCCTCAATTTTGTAACTCTCATATAATTTATGATTTTGTCCCCCTCAAACTTAATGATCATTTAATATATTTAAGTATATATCTACAATTTTATTTTTTCATCTTCTTTCTTTCTTTTATATTTATTTATTATTTATTAATAATATATTATTTGGTCCCCCAAAATCAATGGTCAAGATCCAGTCACTGGTTTATAATTGGATTGGACTGAAATTTTGATGATAAGTTCGCGATATGTGGTTCTTCATTTTGACTATAATTGGAGGTCTATATTTAAAGAAATCAGTCTCACACTATAACTAGATTTTAGATTTCTCTCTTTATTCTTTAAATTTGAGAATATTATTGTTTTGATGTATGAACTACTTGTATACACTTGATTGTCTTATACTTTTATCTTGATTTGAGTGAAACTTAATTAACTAATTTATATATGTGAATTTTTACTTTTTATATTAAGCGATTTTTCTCATGTTAAAAATATTGTTATTATCTTTTATAATTATTTTTATCATTTTTTTATTGTTGTTTTTAGAGATTCTTACAAATTTAAAAAAATTATTTTTATTACATAATATTTTTGTTGTTATATTAAATTTTTCCCTGAAAAAACTGTCTACACAAAAAAACAAAAAAAAATGGAGCTGCATGCATTTATAATCCCATGATAAACAAATTAAAAAAAATGTATATATATATATATAAAAATTTTATAAAAAATAATCATTTTAAATTGTTTTAACATTATGTATAATATACATGATACTATAAATTTAATTATCATAAGTCTATATTTTATAACTTTAATATATTATTTAATATATTATAATTGTATTTTTAAAATATATCTTGATGAATTAATATATATATATATATATATATATATATATATAAATTATATTTAATCTCATCTTTTATATGATGTAGAATTAGTAAATATACTATTACATAAAATATTATTATATTCTAAAATAATTACGGAATATATTAATTCTTATTAATAAGATTGTTTAATCATTCCTCTTAATAAATAATAAAGTATGTTACTGGTCATCAAATAAAATTATTATTTTTACTAAAATAAATTTTCAAAATAATATCTAATACATCTCCTAAAAATAAATAACGGTTTGTTAATTCATATATTCTTCTCTCACTATTTATATTTTAAAAATTATTTTAAATAATATTAATTTTCCTTTATTTTTATACACAATATTTTTTAAATAAAAAATTTTAAAAATATATGTTTTTATATAGATCTTTAAAATAAACAAATCACTCCTTATAGTTAAAAAAAATATTTATTACTTTTGAACATTACATTATATTTAATTCGAACACTTTTATTTTTAAAATTATATTTTTTACCAATATTTATCTACTATTCTAAGTTTTCCAAAACTTAATTTAACGTATGTTCTGTTTTAACAATTATTTTCAATAGTGTTTGTATATTTTTCTGTATTGACTTATATTAAAATTACGACTATCAATCTTATCAAAACTATCAATATTGATATTCACCTAACTTATTCCCTCTTCTTCTACTGTTATATTATTATTATTATTATTATTATTATTATTATTATTATTTAAATTCATATTCATACTTAACTAACATTTTATATTATTATATTTTTTTTATAAAATACAAGAATATAAAAAATATCAAACTTTTTATTATTCTAAAAAATCATAAAATACTATTTTTATTTATTCGAACATATCCATTATTTTAAATAATATCAACAATTTGGATCAATTATTATTGATAATTTTTAGAATAATGCAAATATAATTAATTTTTAAATATAACTTATATTTATTGAAGCCTAATGTTATTATTTTAGAGATATAATTGTTTATTTTGTTCATATCTCAGCAATTAATAAACTTTGTGATTTTATTGATTAAGTTTAAGTTTAAAATGAGAGTTTGATTATACCAACTATCTTAGACACACTTTCTTTCAAAATGCTATCTTCCATAGATGAAAACACTATATTCAGTGTATATCCACCATCAACACCCAAATTGCAAACCCCCTTTTTCGGAAAAGTGCTTCCGTCACAATTCACAAATGGCAGTGCCAAATTAGCCATGTATGGAAACTAAATAAGGACTTCAAGTTGTTTTATTTTACATTTGCTATACAAACAATCACAATTTTCAAGCATCTCTTCATGTTAGGCTTGCACAAAATTAGCAATGGCTGATTTTGTTACGGCTATTTGTTTACTATAAGATAAAAAAAAAAAAATTCTCTTCCACACTGCCATGAACATAACAAATTTTTTTTAAAATGATTTTTAAGAGATTACATGTACAAATTAAGGTTGGTGGACATTTCAAAATTAAGGAGAGGATTTTAAATTAGTGATTTCATGAAGTTGGTTATGTGTACAAATTAATAATTAAATTTTTTTGTACATTAAAAAAGGAAATATTATGTAACTTCAACTTCTAACATTTAAACTTCACAAAATGCAGTTATAATCCAATACTTAGTAAGTTTTAAAAGTATTTTAACTATTTATTCTTATAAAAATATTATGAAGGATTGAGATAAGGACAGTTATATAAAGATATTAATCTTATAAATAAATGGTTTCTAGTTTATATAATCATGCTTTTAATATTACTTTATGATATAATAGATATAGAATTTGCACATTCAAAAATCACATTTAATTGAATTGATCCATTCAGTACTATTTAGTATAGAGAGAGAAACTTTCTACTAAATTCAAATGTCACATTAAATTGAAACTACATGTTTAATATGTAGGACGTTCTTTATATTTACGTTTTCAAAATTATTGATTAAACTAAACCATTCATATGATTCCTTTAATTGTCCTCATTTCAAATTCTAGCTTTGAGACAATAAAATTATAGATTTTAATTTGTACTTATAAGTTTGATCTTATATTTTTCAGAAAAAACACCTTCTACACCCAAAAATTAATGAAAAAAAAAGTTTAAAACTAAAATTAGTAGCATGTGAAAAATCACCATGCTTGATCTATTTCCATACACACTTAGAATTTTCCCCGAAAAGATTATAAAACAGAACATGTTTTAATAATAAAACAGAAGTGTCAACAAGATATCTGTTTTCTGATCACATGGTTTAACTTGTCCTTCCAAACTACTAAACAAATCTGATTTTCTAATATAAAACTGAAGTGTTGATATATTTGTTTTCTGTTCACATGGTTTAACTTAACTTTTCAAACTACTTAATCAATCTGATTTGAAAAAATGAAATAAAGAGGATTTTATTTTACTCAATCTAATGAGAGTTTGATTCTATCCATCTATTCACAAACCAGGAAAATTAGACATAGCCATGCCTATATTAGCAGACATCATCACTACAAAATATCAATGGTATCTCCCAAAGATGAATAGACTACACTACTCAATGTCCACCATCACCATTCTTTCAGAAAAAAGTGCTGTCATCACATTTCACAAATAGTAGTCACCAATTAACCATATAAGGGAACTAAATTAGTCATATAAAGTTGTTCCATTACAGATATGCCACAGAAACCACCACTGTATTTTCAAAGCTAAATCGGAGAAACAAAAATTACTATAATTGAAAGCAAATGCTAGACTAAAATATAGTAGTAGAATTGTATTTGGCAAATTCTCTTGTATTGGTTTTCCACAAATTAGATCTAGGCACATAAAGGTCCTAACAAAAGTAAACCAGGCATTTGAATTTAAGCATTAAACTATAGTTAAGTCTAGAAACATTGAACTCAGTGAAAATGAGTAATGAGTAATATGCATGTATCTTAGCAGATCCATCCATCACAGATACGCGATCTATCTGTTCTATTTACTTTTTCCGGGAATATCAGCCTAGAATATCAAAGCCTGTACTCATATCAGCCTAGAAAATCAGAGTCTCAACTCAATGGTAGCCTTCTTTGGTGTTCTGCAAACGGGGCAAGCCTCGAGGGAAGCGTTACAAACTTTGCAGGAAGAAAGGTGCCTGCATGGGAGGAAAAGAAAGCACGAGCTCCTAGAATGACAGCTTTTACAAAGCATTACCCCTCCTCTTCTCGTAATCTGTTCAAGCTCACTCACTCCACCACATTCTAAACCTTTTTCTGCTGTTGCTTCTTCTTCCATCTCTTCTATTCCCCCAGTTTCGCCACAACAGGACACTGCATCATTTACCACTGCCCCAGTGTTTAAAAAATTGCCACCTTCTGCCATTTCCTCCAGAGTTTTGTACAGGGACAATGCCATGGTTTCCTTCTCCTGAGCCAACCTCTGCCACTTGCTGTTTTCCGCCTCTAGCCTTCTTAAGTACTCTTCCAACTCCAACCTTTTCTTCATGGCTAGCGCAATTTCTTCATCTTTTTCCCTCAGGATATGAAGTGAACGAATTTCCAGTTTCTTCAGCAATGCTATTACCTGCTGTTTCCCATGCTCTTGTATCATATATCTCAATTTCTCATCCTATCCCATTCAAAATTAACAATCACAATCTGAACTCAATATTATAACAATAATAATAATATCAACATGATAAAGTTGCGTATGAATTCTGACCTCAGATTTGATGTACTGATCAATCTCTTCCCATTGTTTCTCAAACTGAATAGCGAGCATAGGAGAATTCAACGCTTTTGAAAGATTTGGATCAACAGTTCCCTGACTCCCATCGCATAACTCTCTCAAATGCTGTTGTGCTAGCTGTTGTTGTTGATGATGATGTTTCTGCTGAAAACTGATGCCAGAGTCAATGAAGCCAGCAGAACAATAACCATTGTTCAAGAATGGAGAAGCAGAATTATTTGGATACCAGTGCGCTTGAATGGCCATAATATTCTGAGCGCCAATCTTTCCAACCAAAACCAACCTTTAAAGGTGATCAAAACCTGAGCCTTTTCTTCCCTCAAATCTCTTCAGTAACGCATGCTGAGATGTTGATATTCGCTGGAAGTTGAATGTTGTGAAAAATAGTTTTTTCCCCACGTTTTCACGGCAGGATATTCGGCATGGCACGAAGCGTAAACAGATACGTTTGTTTTGTGGCAGAGCTGGCTAGTGGTGGTGTGCAAATATATATAGATATATATACTTATAATAACAAAACTGGTTGAATAAAAACAAATTAGCTTGCACAGAAAAAGTAGCAAAGAAAGAAACTTGAGGACAGGAATAAATTAAGAGTTGAAGTTTACGTTTGATTATAATAATACGTCAACATAAAATTGACATTAATGAGGCTCAATTAATGGATAGATATTGATTGAGCAGAAAAAGTAACTGAAAAACTTGAAAGGAAATGAGAGAAAGTAACCATAAGGAGGGTATAGGGTGTGGTGGAGTTTATCTCTCTTTAGCTTTTTCTTTAACTTTGTTTGTTCTTTATTTCTAACCTGTCCTTGAACAATTAAGAAATAGGTGGAAGATGTGGTAAGCAACAACGTACCACATGCATATTTTGTGACTAAACTATCGGGTCAGAGATTTCAGAGGCGTTTGTTCTGCTTTGAATAAATAAATAAAGGAATTGAATTGGAATTTTGAAGTAGGTGGTAGTCACAGGACCTGTGAAAGGCTCAGTTTTTATTGAACAATACTCACAGAGATTTGTCATGGAATGGATTGAAAGCATGGCATGATTTATTGGCCAGACAAAAGTTAGCGTACCATTTCCTTTTCCTTTGCTTCCTCGTTTTTCTACGTTTCTAAACCCTCTTCCCGAATTCCTAGCTCTCTTTCTTCCTACTTGTTTTTAATCTCATTGCCTTCGTCACTTTTTTTTTTTTTTTAACCATTTCAAATTTTAGATTTTTCTCTCTGCATGCTAAACCCGGTTTATAAGATTTTCTGCACCGGCCTCCTCGTTTTCTTTTAGATTTAACACAACACTTTTAAATTTAAAATATTTCCCCTTTTGAGACAATAATATTTTTTAACCAATCATTACTTTAATATTAATTTTTCTTAATAATATCTAAGTATTTAAATAATAATTGTTTTAAAAAAACCATAGTCATGCCTCTACAATACATGAGTTTTCCTCTCATGGAGAGAAAATAGATATTTCTAAACAATATTCAAAAAGCTTATTAAATGTTTGGAATTTGTGCATTAAAACGGATGTTTAACGTGAGGGAAATAATAGTTTTATTTATGAAAAAATCACAGTAACAATATTTTTAAAAACATTTTTCGCAAAATTAATTTCTTTATTACGTTTCATCTGACCATATATTTCTTGATATCATACAAGTAACTGTAAGATATTTTGTTGAAATGTTAAAGAATATTGAAGTGGAGTAAGTTGATAAAGATGATTTGAGTTTTATTTTAAAATTATATTTTTAATTAAATTATTGTGAAATAGAAATTGCAAACGCTCCCCGATTTGAATTTATTTTTGTGTGGTCGTTCAGTGGTTGAAAGCGTGTATTCACGTATCTCACCGTCCATGAAAAGCAAAAGCTAAAAGCCAAAAGCATACGTAAGCCAGAAAGAGGCTTGTGTTGAGAGTTATGGATTTTTTTTTTTTTTTCATTTAATTAACTTAGAAAAGCTAACGTAGACACAATAATCCAAATTTATCAATTAATATATATGTCATGCATGTGTACGTAAATCATATTTTTACTTTAATGAAAAACACGAGATGAAAGATACGATGTTAGGAAATAAATAAAGAACAATGAAGATAATATGGGTGTTATGTTAAGTTAGACATAGTCAATGTCCACGTAAGATGATCACGATATTCATTTGAAGTTTGGACGTTACATTGGACCTATCTTCTTGGAGACACACATGTAAACACCTCCATCATCACACAACGCTTCTGGTGGAATCCCAAATCACGGAAACGTTGATTAAAGTGGTTTATGTGTCAAGCCAACACCGTGAATTGACACATGCACGCACACACTCGCACGACGAAATCTCCTTGTTGGAGAAAAAGTCATCAACTCTTGTTTTTGTATTCATTTTCCTTGTTTTGGATGTAAAGCGAGACAGATGGAGAAAACACGGACACTGAACTGCATTGAATAGAATATTAAGGTGTGGCGAAGAGTGAGGTCAAATGGTGTGGTGGTGATGGACCCATGTGTTGGCCACCCACATGAACCTTGGGTGCTACTTGTGCAAATTCGACCAAGGGTAAAGTCCTTTTCTTTTTTAAAATATATATTTGTTATTGTGCCAAAAATAATATTCTAAGGAGACCCTTATCTTTCGCTTTCCCTTGAGGTTATTGGGCTTTGATTTGCTTTCTCTTGAGGGTATATTAGCCACATTTCTCGTTTTTGATGCAAAAAGTCTTGGTGGTAACTTGCCAACTATTTGTCTTTTTTGTTTTTGAACTTTGAACATTGAACAAAACAACGTATGCATAATAAGATGGAAATTGTGCCGTAAAGGGCAGTCCCAATCCCCTAATGCTTTATTGCGATCTGAAATTTTAAAAATAAATGGTCAAAAAATTTACTCCTTCAGTTTCGTAGTTTTTAACCTTTAAGACTTTGATTTCGCACAACCACTATTGGTAATTGTCGTGGAATAAAGGTAATCCTTCTATTCTACCATTATAATCACCTCTCATATACTTATCACATTGCCGTGATGGTAAATTAATGCAAAACATTTCAAGTTGAAACGACAAGTCAGAGCACAACTTTTAACTAAAAAGTCACGATTTGTAAGTCACAGTAGCATTGATCTTATTGAAATTCATGGATGAAAATAGCAACTTAGCGAGTCACATTGTGGCATAAACATGCAAAGAGTCAACTATCACTATAGCTATTTGTTCTGGCTTAAACATGGTGCAATTAATCTCAAATCTATATAGAGATTAAGTATTTCTAAGTTAAAACTATTTTGGCCTCTTTTCTATGAAAGAACTTGGCCGGTCCCTGACAAGCAAAAACCCACCTAACTTTGGTTTTTAATGCCTTGTTTATGTGAATGGGTACTGGGTTTTAAAATGTCGGTTAATTAGCATATTTGTTAATTTAGCCACCCACAATTAAAGGTATCTATCATCTGAGAAATATTGGGGTTATTTTCCTTCATACTATATCTCGTGCACAAGCTGAGACATCACTAATTAAGCTCTGAACCTACTCGTCATGTACCAAATCTGTTCACATCAAAGCTTTGTCTTATTATATATGTACTCTATTGCATACCAATCAATTTCTGCATAGAAGAAATTAATGCAGAACCATTTACTTTTTGTTAGGTTTTCGGTGATAATCAAAGATTTGACTTGGATGGGTTAAAGCAGATGCTTCAATGCTTTTGGTAATCTGAGGACCACGTAATAACTACATCCACACTGCATAGAAGTTGCGATGTGGGATTGGCCAATTCTAAATTGCCTGGTCTTTCGATCACAACAAGCCTACATATGTATTCTATTGGTGGAATGGGTTTGTTTGGTTTAATTTTTTATAAAATACATAAAAACTCAACTTCTTTTACCATAGCTTTAAACCATCCGCAACATACCTAATCACTTTCGGTATTACCAAATATAAATAATATATTTTATCTTAGCAAATATTACCGGTACCATACATCGAGGCTGCAAATTCTCTCATGTTTATCGATATGCTGCAATGCAACATCATTATCTAATATTAATGCAGCTACCTGATATATATTTGTGTACATATTTTAATATTTGGGTTACTGGGTAGTACATAGCTACTAGCTAGGTTCATTAGCTGGCAGCTTAATCTTCTGCAGCAGAGAATTAAAAGAGGAAAAAGATAGATGAATTGAACAGGTATATATTTTCTGGTCGGTTAACAAATCTTGCTCTTAAAATATAAGTATTATCAGCACACAGTCTAAAACCTAATCTGTCACATTACACTGATGCCAAATTGTGATGTCATCGTATTTAACATCTGATTGATAAAAAAGTAATCATAATTAACATCAACTGTTCCTCACTAATCATAGCAGATTTTTTTTTTAATCTTATTTGGTTGCAGATTCAATCCAACTGAATAACTAACAAGCAATTATTACGGCTAGGAATCACAATATTTTAACATGAAAAGTGAAGATTATAAACAAATTTAGGACGGCACACATGTTCTTGACTGGTTGTGAAATATGAAATTGTGTGGTTGGTTACTGGTTAGTGTATGTATGTATGATCGTATGATCATGTGTGGGAGGTTGAATTCTGATATATATATTCTGTCTACATTGGAGACCGACACACGCAAATCATGTGAACTAGGAAATTGTCTTTTTGTGGGGGAAAGACCCATCCCAATCCCATGCATGCTTTACTTGCATACATGTTGTTCTATGAGGTCGCTTTTCTATGCACCGTAACAGTGAAAGAAAGAGGTATGAGGAGAACTTTTGAGTGGTTCTCGTGCAACTTTGACTACACCCCAGTTGCAACATTGCATGCTGTTTTTACCACTGAGTGATTTGAGTCAGAAAAGCATGTGTAGAAAGCTGGAAGCGGATATACATGGATGATTTATTCAGTCTTTGAAGTTTGAACCAATGTTTATATCCCCTAGCCCTAGCTAGCCAACTCCTTTTTGACCTTTCTGGTCTTAGATAGATAGACATAACATAGCTTTTCTCTAAAGAAAATCTGCAGAGTACGTTCAAGTCTTTTGTTTGTGTAATTAATGGATTGTTTTGTTTCTCACTGACGTATTGTTTCCTCAAAATTAAGTTCAGAGTAGGGCTACTTTGTTTTTCTCTTTTTTGTCCCAGATTCAAAGGGTTGAAGAAAAGCAGAAAAAGGACTTTGCAGCTAACATAGACGATGATGGGATTGGAAGTTCCATGTATGAAATTATGAAAATAAGCATCATTAGTGATTGTCCTTGTCCCATAAGTTATGGAGCGAGGGGACATAGGAACGGTACCGACTTTGACCATATGCTAATGACTTTTACCAAACTCACTTGTTTCTAATTAATATTAACTCCCAATTAATCTAGTACCTAAAACTTAAAGAGGGTGATAATATACTGCACCAAATTAATCATTTTCGAATCTATAACTAGACCTTCGATACCTTCAAATAAGATAACTTTCATACAAAATATTCTTCCTTTAATTCTTTAAATTTTTTTATAGAACAATTATGACCATTGATTGTTTCCAAAGTATTGTTCTCTCCAGGAAACCTATAGTTAAAGTTCAAAGCAACATTAACATTGTTTTAAAATGATTTTTTTTTCCGTCAGAGCAACATTAATTATACTTATGGTTCGTATTATCCAAGCATAGTTTTTTTTATCAAATTCAAATTGAAACATTTTTTGATTCAAAAGTGTTGTCTGGGGTAAAATTGAGCGTATGCGTATATCACGTAATCAAAACATACTAAAAAAAATCTGGTTTGTGTTTTCATTCATTAAATTTAAAATGAGATTTTAAAATGAATGAGATGGAGGCCTTTCTTGCAAAGCCTTCGTGTGCTGAGAGTAATGAGATTGAGGCCCAAGCAAATGGGCTTAAATCAAAAGAAAGGTTGATAATGGCACCCCTAATTGTTATTTAAACCCCTAACGAATTGGTATTATTTGTCTTGTGTCGCACAATGAATTTATACATTAAAAGGAAAAAAATAAAAAAAATTCACTGTATTACATACACAATGGAAACTTCTTAACTTTAGGATGTTGTGTCTATGAACAAAAGTGTTCTAATGGTATAATATTATGTATATTATGATAATATTATTAGGGTCAAATTTTAAATCTGAAATATTATTATTTTAAAGCTTTAATCCATCATGATTTTATCCTTAAAAAATGTTTCGATAAATTAAAAAATGATAATGTATATAAATTACATTTGACCTCAATTTCTATGTATATGAAACTCATAAACATATTGAATCATAAGTCTTTAGTCTAAGGGGTATGGGTGGAACAAAACTCAGTTCTTGACCCCGTGATAAATATTAATGTTTTGTGTAAGAACAAAAATATTCCGATTTCATATTTATCATAATAATATTATTAAGATTAATTTTTATATCTAAGATAAGATAATTTGAAAAAGATATTAGTCAAAACAATAATGTGTTTATTTTATAAAAGTAAATTCATGTGTCTACATTATGCTTCACTAACCACATGTATCCTCCATATAATAAACAACTGTCTTAATCTCATTGCATTTGCTTGAGAGGCATAACCACAGTGGACCTTAGCTCAATAATCCAAACAGAAATGAATGATTGAATAGTAAAATGAAAGAATTAATTAGTTAAGTCACCACAAAGATGCTATTTATTATTATTATTATTATTATTACTATTATTTATTTGATACACATCACATAAATTTAGTCTTTTGTTCACACGGGGTGATTTCTTTTTAAGATAGAGTAAGAAACAATAGATTAAGTAAAGTAATTAATATATTGTTTAGTCCTTCACTTTAGTGATCTCAGCGAATCTAATTTGTTTAAACTTTTTGCATCCAAAATTCCCTTACAGCATTGTATAAACATTTGATGTCAGTGATTGGCAGAAATGTTAAAAATATTGGTTGCACATGGACCATAAGTCTTCAGAGTTATGTATTCATAAAATTACATATAAACCAAACAGTGATGAATAACATGTGATTGGATTCTTGAAGGATCTTAATGACTAATATTTAGGTGTTAATTAAATCTCATAATGTTTATGGACCTTTCCATTCATCAACAAAAAGAAACACTAAAAGAAGAATAAAACATGGTTATCCACCACACATGAAAGAGAATTAGTTGTGAATTGGTAATAAGAAGAGCAAGAAGTGGATGACAAGAAAAGTATGACTTATCGTAAAGATATTGTAGAAAAATCAAATTTATGTGTTAGTCCATAACATTATTAGGGTTTGCTGAATTTACTTTATAGCAATCAAGTAAGCGTTCCAACCAATCAACTCACTAGCATTAAGAACAATGAAAAATTTGCACGTATAAAATTTGCAACTTACATAATTATTTTTGTAAACTTATGGATCATTGACATATGAGCAACTTCATATATGTAACTAACTCCTTTCAATTGTTATAAATTTGAAACAAGTTACACCACAATACATTTTACAATTAGCTAGGAAAGTTTGCTACAAATTTTATTTTTTACTAATTTGTAGCTAATTAGTTATGGAATAGTAAATGAATAAAGTTATAGTTAATATGTAATAAATTAACTAGAAAATAATATTTTTGTAGTTATTCCCTCACTTAGTAGAAAAATAATTTAGTTAGGAAAATTTTTTGTCACTAATTCCTAACTATAAATATTAATTATGTTATTTTTTAAAGCTATTTCTTAGCTAAATTATATAACATATAATCATAGTTAAATTATAACAAATTTATAGCAAAAAAATAATTATAAAATTATTTAAAAATTATTTTTACCAAATTTATTATAAATATATTAATTTATATATATATATAAATTATTTGAAAATAATTATAATTTTTTGAAAAAATATCTAAAAAAATTGATAAATATTTAAAATTAGTTTTTGTAAAATTTTTATAAATTTAAATTTGTAGAAAGTATTTAATAATTTAAATTAATAGAAAAATTTATAAATAATTTTTTTATAACTTTTTTTAGAAATTAGTCTTTATACAAAAATTATTATATTAAAATATTTATTTAATTAAATATTATTTTAAATATAAACATCTTTAATATAATAATAAAAATATCTTTTAAAAATTATAAAAATTTTATATATTTTTTAATAAAAATATTAAATTAATCTCTTTTTTTCCCAAAATTTCCTTCCTCTTTTTACTTACTTCTCATTCTTTCACTTTCAACAGACCTAGACTGCGTTTGCTACCGCTGCCGCTGTCACCGCTCTTGTTGCCGCTGCTCCCGCTGCCGCCGCTCCTGCTACCGCACTGCTGTCGTGTCGTTGCCGCTGCCGGTACATATGTGTTTTATGAAATCTTATGTATTTTATGCAAACTTCAATTTGTGTTTTGATTTGTTAGTGACTTTCTATGGTAAAAGAACAGCTAATCTTCCGATTCTATTTAGTAATTTCCAACTTCTGAGTGTGTTCCCTATTATCCAGCTATTAGGTTTCGTGTAACCTAGCAACAACGATAGGGTTTATTTGTTCCCTGGGTGTTTTTATTTGATTTGATTTACTATGTACCTCTATTACGGTGGGTTACTATGTAATTATCATGGTTAATTAAATTTATTTAATCCAATTTTAATTTTTCAATTACAATTCACAAGCAGAGGGGTTTGCTTAGTGGAATTTCCTCTGCGTCTTTCTTTTTGATAAAATTCAGCATATTTTATAATGGTAATTTCCTCTGTGAATTTGTTCTTGCTCGCATACCTATAATTGAGAACCAGAGGTAAGTCATTGGGTCATATTAGTACTTATTAGCACATCGCATACTGTGTTTTATCTCTATGGTTGACCGGTTCTTTTTCTCGTTCTCTGAGGTTCTTTTATCCTATTCTTTGGTAGTCTTGACTAATTTATTTTTGAAGTAAAAATATAACAAGTTTTTGAATTTAATATTAGACTATAATTTCACTATTTTCTTCCATTTAGCACCCAAAGTTTTTTTCCTTAATGTGTATTCTTTTTATTATATTGAATGTTGGATGTTCCTTCATTTTATTTTCTTACATTCATACCTATGTTGTGTTATTTTCATTTGTAGAGCTTTTGTTGCCCCAGCAGATATTCAGTCATTCACCAGTGAGGCTAAAAATAAGTTATCTACTCGTCTTCAAGGAAAGACTAGGTACTTTGGCCAAGCTGTGAAGGAAATATGTGCAACATTTGAAGAGATGCAGAAACAGAAGGCTAGTGGTTTGACAGATGAAACGGATGATTCTCGTATTGGTTCAGAGGCTCCATCTAATGATGAGGTAGTAGGTAACCATAAGGATGAAATTGACACTGTGTTATCAAATGCAGAAAAAGATAACATTGATATGAATAATGTTGGTTCTAATCTGGAGCACTGTACTCAGAGAGTAGGGGAAAAAGACAGCGCAGATGAAAAGAACTCTGTGCCTGTCCATCCAAATGAAAGTTCATTGGTTTCATCTCCGGGGATGAAAAGTAAATTATCCATGGGTTCAGAGCCAAAGAAGAATGCTAACAAATTGATTCTTAAAGGTGCTAGTAATTTTAATGATTTTGGGCAAGATGATAATGGACATATTATTTTAACAAATGGGACCAAGCCAAGAAAGCTTGTCAATGGCTTGCCTAATCATATTTGCCTAATGCCTCTTCCAAACTTGTGCAGTATATAAGACTTTGGGAAGTGCCATATCACATATTAAACTCTTTTGTACGCATGAAACTATAAACAATCTCACTCTTTACTACTAGGTAAGTCATTACTCACCTTTCTAATTAAATTCTCTTAATATTAGTTGCTTTATGTGTATGCTTTTTTATGTGTATATTTATAGATAACTATCCAATGCACTCTCACTTTTTAGTTTTGAACATTGGTTTGAATGGCATTACTGTTTTTTTGGTGACTGTTTTCACATTCAATAATGGTTGAAGTGTGTGTGTTTTTTTTTTTTTTTTTTTTTTTTTAATTTTCTGTTTGGCTTTTGGTTGGAGTGAATCAGAGAGTGTTGGCCTCACCACACTAAAAGAGTTTTTGGAAAGATAGACATGAAGAGAAAGAGAATGTGTGGGTTGTGCATGAAGAGCACATTATCAGACTGCTTGAGATATAAAGGCATCTATCGAAAAAATGAGTTCCTAACAAAAGTTTTCAACGTAAGTCTTTCAGCTTGAAATCCTAGTTTTTGAGAACTTGTTTATTATCAACTTCAAACCCCCATTGATTAACGAGTATTCAATTATTTATTTTCATAAACTGTAATGATGGAAGAGGCATGCATTTTACGTATTAATAGTATAAGAAAGTTCTGAAGGCCTTCTCCCCTTCCTTTCCTTCATTTCTTGTTTTCTGTTCAAAGTTGTCTGCATATTCATGTTGCATTCATTCTTACTATATTTGTTTTCTTTGTGTAGTCTCGCATCCAGAGTGAAATTTTGAAGAGGAAATTTCTTTCCAGTTCTTTAGTATCAAAAAGAATGGATGAAAATTTTTATGCCACTTGTAGAAGGGAATGTAGTATTTGCCTGTATTATTTACACTTGTCTGCTGTAGGGTGTTCATGTTCAAATGACTAGTTTGCGTGTCTTGGTCATGCAAAACATTTTTGTTCTTGCCCTTGGATCAACAAAATTCTCTTATACCGTTACGAGATCAATGATTTGAATGTTCTTTGTCAAGCTTTGGATGGGAAATTAAGTGCAGTCTATAAATGGGCCAAAGAGTATCTCGGACTAACACTGACCTCTGTTGCCTCCAAGAGATCAAAACCACATCCAGAAAATGTTAGTTGTTCAACCTTCCCTTTGCAAGACTTGCATATGAAAGAACCTGTATCCCAGACATCATCAAATGAATCCTCAAAAGGGAAACGACGCAAATTGCAGGAAATATTGAATTCATCGAAGAAAAATCACAATGAAGTGGTTTCAAGTTCTTCGAAAAAGAAACAAAATGAAGTGGTTCCAAACTCATCCAAGAAGAAACAAAATGAAGTGATTTCCCAGGTCCCGCAGACTTCTGGTGGCACTCACACTAATCATGACACTCATTCAAAAATGAAGATAAATTTGCTTCAGTCAAGCTTTGCAAATGGTAAGAAAGGAATCAATTCTATTGGCACCAAAATTGATACGAAGATGGTTAGGCATGAGTTAACAATTTCAAGGAAAGGAGATCCAAAATCATCTAAAGTTTCTTCTGTTACAAACTCACGTTACTTGTCTTTTCTTCAAGAACATGAGTTACTTGATGTTTCATCTGATAGTATGAGCACATCTTCGTCATCAGATTCTGAAGTTGCATGAGTAGTTGATGGCTAACTTTTCATAGTGGAAAAGATATATGTAGTCCTTTGTGGGTTTATCTTGTAGGATAACCATTTTTTCATGCAACAACAAATGCAAGAAGAAATGCAGTCTTTCAAGAAAGATTTATTATCTCGTCTTAAAGAAACAATGATGAAAACGTAGTTTAAACTTTGTTTCTATTTTTAATTGTGTTATACAAAACTTTTTAGTTGAAATATTATTTTTGTTATGTTTTAATTGTTTGAAACATTATTTTAACTATGTTTAAACAATATTTTTATATTGAAAGTTGATAAGTTTGTCTTCTTTTTTTAAGAATATGAGTAATAATTTAAATCTTAAATATTTGATATTATAAATTTTGATAAAAATTGTGAGGGATTAGTTATGAAATAGCGAGAGAAATATTGCAAAGGATTAGCTACGGATTAACGAGAAAATAATTGTGAGGCATTAACCATATATTAGCTAGAGATAAATTGTCAGGGATTAGCTACAGATTAGCGAGAGACAAATTGTGAGGGATTAGCTACGGATTAGCGAGAGAAAAATTGTGAGGGATTAGCTACGGATTAGCGAGAGTAAAATTGCGAGGGATTAGCTACGGATTAGTGAGAGAAAAATTGCGAGAGATTAGCTACGGATTAGCGAGAAAAAATTGCGAGGGATTAGCTACGGATTAGCGAGAGAAAAATTGCGAGAGATTAGTTACGGATTAGCGAGAGTGAAATTGCGAGAGATTAGCTACAAGTTTTGGGAGATCAAATTAGCTAGATATAAACAACATTTCATCATTTAAATTAGCGAGAGATTTAACGACGATTTAGCGACAAAATTTGCTACAAGTTTGTGAGAGAATACATCTGTATCTAATTAGCTACTTGGATTTAGCTACGGACTATTCCATAGCTATTACGTAGCTAATCTGTAGCAAAACATACCAACGAGAAATTAGCTATAAAATAGCTACTGAATGTGTCTTAGCTAATATGTAAAATTTTTGTAGTGTTACACCTTGAAATTGTAACTCAACTTTCATAATTATTTTTAGTTGAAAGACAATTTAACAAAAAATAATTTTTAGACACCTGGTCTTGAATTTAACTTGTTAATTTGTATGTTGTTAAGGTATCATCCATTAAAAACTATGTATTAAGACGTAAATATAATTACACTATTAAAAATAAGTTATTTAAAGATGATTAAAATAATATATGAGATTATTTTATAATTATTATTACTACAATCGTTATTAAAAGTTATAAAATTGATAATATTTTTTATTTATCATTATAAATTATCAATACGATGATAATATAATTATCGTATATGTTGTTTATCGCAAATTTTGTTATGTCGTACTAGATTTTGCTCTATCATAATAAATCTAGCATTTTTTTACTACTTTATTATCATTATTTTCAAGTACGAAATGACAATGAAAGTTTTGATGTCCATATAATAACCAAGATTTTGTCCTCGTCCTCAACCTTTAACTTGATTGGATTATCTTCTCTCTAAAATCTTATCTCCTATTATCATTTTTCCTTGAGGTGATGTCAAATACGTTGAAGAATTTTGAAAAAGAGAGATGTTTTGGAAAAGAAAAAAAGAGAAAGAGGTGGAGGAGTAGAGTCAAATCATGATGGAGAAATGAAGAATATATGAACCAATAATAGAGAAAGAAAGTCGAATCACGATGAAGAGATGAAGAAGAGGCGAACCGACAATGGAGGAGGAGAGATGAATCACAATATAGAGATGGAGAAGTGACAAGCCAACAATGGAGGAACAACAGAGAAGAAGAGAGAAAAAGAAAATATTAGGACATAGAAGAGAAATGAATAGAATGAATAAAGTAAAAAATATATAACGAGACATATAACAACGATTTTAATTATAGTAGTCGTCATATATAACATACAACAACAATTATTATTTAAATAGTCATCATATATTACATATGAGGATAATTATAAAAGAATTATTCATTACTTGAAACAAAGACATTTAATGATGGTTACAAATGATCTACCACACTAGTTGCAAACTCGTTGTTAAATGTAAACTTACGACAATGGTTATTTATAAATAATTGTCATCGTGTGTAAGATATAACGATGAGTTTAGTCATATTCGTCGTTGAATACTTGCGTTAAGCATACTTATGACGATAATTATGGTATTAATCATCGTTACATCTTTTTATTTTTAAATAAACAATATGTTTTTTTGGCTCTATATCATTACCTGCATATTCAATCAACCCAAGTATAATATAATACAAATTTTTAACATATTTATAGTACATAAGCAACCATGAATATGTACAATAGTTAATATCTAATATTAATTTTACTAGAATCTTAAAAAGTTATTTATAAACATCTATAATATACAAGAATAATTAGTCAATTATCCTAATGTTCAACTAAGAAATCATGATCTTATATATAATGTTGTTTTAACAAAAAGTTAACTATCTTAATGTAAAGTTGATGAAATGTGTTACTCATGTGTGTCTAATATACTCTATGACACCTATATCCATGAGAGATGTATCCATAAAGAACTGCAATACTTTAAATAAATTTTCATAAGTATAATTATAATTATAACTAACTTTTTGGTCTATAATCACCTTTAAATAAATATTTGTCTTACCTGATCTCAATCTCTTTCTATTCATGCTTGGACGAGTGGTTAGGATATATTATTACGTAAATCACACTCTTTTAGTTTATCTATCACTGTTGCTCAAAATATAGAAACTAAATTTCCTTGTTAGTAACAAAAACAAACTAAAATAAATATTTATGCTTATATCTTTAGATACAACTACATGATTTTTTGTTGTCTTCCACTTAACTTATTGCTTGTTATATTATATCCAAAAAAAGCACTAACATATACACTTAGTTAAAACATAAAAACATAACTGTAATATAATTATCTATAAAAACAACCAAATTGTGTTACAAATATGCTATTTATTTAAGGTATATATGTGATTTTTTGTACAACAAACAAAATCATACAATTGTGTTGTCAATCATAAATATGACAAACAATTGCAAATTATGACTATACATTGAAACATATTGAAATGAGTTAAAATAGGAACTGAGTAAAGATAAATTATAAAGAGAATGTACTTACTCATAAACATATGGTGCAAGATATATCATTTTTTCTCGATAAGAGAGTATTTGTGATGTATGTTTATATCTCTATTTTCTTATTACCCGATGGTTGAATGAGATGAGGATCTAAAAATCTATAAAACTCACATTTCCCCTCATTCACACATAATTAGGATATATAACTATAATGAGTGACATTATCATTAATGAACTATTTCAATAACTAAAATAGTAAGAATCTTAGTTTAAATAACTTACATCATCCACAACTACGTAACATATATGTTGAACTCTAGATTGTCCGATACAATTCCTAACACATTAGACATATGTAAATATAATGAGATCTCACTCTTCCTTCCAAAAATAGTTGAGTCTCATGGCACCTCAACTAGGTTGGTACTAATGACCTTGATAACATTTAACAATAAAGACAAATGATCACTAATAGTATATTACTTTTTATTTTTCCCATCTTTCTGACGTTGTTGCTGCACATAAATAACATTAATATTAAAAACAATATAATAAACAAGAATCAAACATGTTGGATGTTGGATCAAAACTAGAAGCATATGATTAAGATGCATATCTATGTTATCATGTTTACTCTTTCTCCATCATCATGGCTTGTTCAAGCTTCTGATAATCCCCATGCGACAAAAATTGGGGTCACATTATGTGCTTGAATAATTTGTACTTTCTTCATAATACCCTATCACCAAATATAATAAATGTTATCAATTAGTTAATTATAATTGTAAAAATAATGTTAAAAATAAAGAAATATACGATTACTTGTCGTTTCTCATCCTGTCTCGTTTGAATAACCCGTGTTCAAGTTTCTACATCAATCGTTGTGTATTTGGTACACGAATTTTCATTGTTCCTTACACCAAATAGATAATTTGTCATCAATTTAGATTTAAATTGATGCCATTTTGTTAAAATCAAAGAAAGAACCTTCAATCTCAACATTAGGGATATCTTAATGTGTTTGTGAAACAAATGTGGTTAAGACTATATAATTAGACAAATTATGAAAGAAATAATTAATATATGTTAAACTTGTTATCAAGATATCTTGTTGAATAATGTTTCTTTCAACCTCAGTGACATAGATATGACTAAAATAGAAGTCATCTCATGAGCTAATATACCAAGGTAACTACTAAAATACTTGACATTTGGCCCAGAGGTCACACCTATGTGAACGTCAATAGTGAAAAGTGTCATTGATACCACATCTAAGTGAGAGTGACCTCATCCAAGTAGCTCTTCTAGTAAACTTCTTAGACATCTACTCCAACTCAAAAGGCGATTGATCATCATTAGACATTTTTCTATTAAAAAAAATAAAATTGTTAGATACAATTTAATAATAGTTATTAGTATTTAAATAAAAATTTAACAAAATTAATATATATTCATCTATATGTATATTCCTTCATCGTGATCTTTTCTACTTGCATGTATATCATCAATAACATCGTCCTGATCCGTTTCAGTAATCATAGTTAATGTGAATGAACGAGTGTGACAAATATTAAGATTAAATTATTCATTCTTATGAGTAAAATTTCCTTTTTTTTTCATGAAAAACAACTGATAAATGTTCAAAAGTAGGATCTTTGACATTAAACACTTGTAAAGTTTAATGTGCTATGATAAATGGTTCATCCTGATATATTATCTTTTGAAAATCAACTAACACATTACCAATTCATTAATAGTCACACTACTTTTATTGTCAATCCACTTACACTTGAAAATAGACACTGAACACTTAGTATAACTAACCTTCCAAATCTTCTCAATTACACTCAATAGTCACACTACTGTTTTAAATAGTACTTTTATCATTTGAAGAGTTTATATAGAAGGAACAATTATTAATATCATATATGGTACAAAGTAAGACATCAAATTTAAGTTCATTTACTAGTCATGTTAATGTTTCAAATGTTATCCGATCTTTCATGATCTCCTCTTTAAATCATGTCATGAAAGTCTTGTTATGTTGCATCAACACCCACTTCTCTAGTTGTCTTGTTCGTTATTCTCTTTGACAATGACTTTATGATCAGATAAGTAAGGAATTACCTCATTTATATTGTTCAATATATACAAATGTGTTTGAAGAACTTCTTCATGTGATTTAGTTACTATATGAATGTCTCGTAAACACTTACTTAATGATCATTTATTGTGCCAAATCTTTAATGGAATCCTATAGGATTTGCATTTGACATATACTCTGAAAGAAAAATTCAATGACTTCTTCTGCAATGCATCTCTCGATCATAAAGGCTTTTGGACGATAATTTTTTTTTATATACCCTTTCAGAATCTTCATATAACACTCATATGATTAGTACTTAGATTACTAAATGGATTCATTCCATCAATAGTCAATCAAAGTCTAAGATTTTTTAATTCATCACCATATTCGAGAAACTCATTTTCAAAGTCCTTTTATTGCATAGTCAGCAAGATGATGAATCAATCCATCACATGTCCTCGCATTTGCATATTAACTAGGTTTTTTAGCATTATTAGGATTCACAAACAAATGATTAAACCTTAGAATTATTGGAAGATACCAAATGGACTTGGCAGAGGTCTCTTAATAGTCATGTCATCATTATTGTCTTAATTATTATCTTTCATTTTATAACGAGATAACCTACAAATTGGGCACTTTTTTAGCGGTTTAAACTCATTTTTATTTAAAATACAATATTAGGACATACATGTATCTTTTTATACTTCATACCCATTAGATAAAATATCTTTTTTACCTCATAATTATAATTAGGTAGTTATTTCCTTCTGGGAGCATATCCTTTAACAACTAAAGCAATTTAGTGAAACTTTTATCATTCTACCCATTCATTGCTTTCAAATTTACCAATCTTAACAGTGTTGACAACCGTGTGAAGTTAGTTGAACCAGGATAAAGTGGAGTATTTGCATTGCTACACATATCTTCATATACATACACTTGAGCAAAATATTTTACTTCCAACATCATGAATCATATCCTGTAATCGATAATCCATGGTTGAATAAACTAAATCATTAGATTCATTTAGGATTGACAAATATAATAATTCACCATACCATGTTCAAGTTGTATAAATTTTAAGAAAATCATCACATAAAAGATGCTCCCTAATTTCTTCAATATTTAATAATCTTCCATTAAGACAACTAACATATGGATAGTTAAATCTTCTACCAATAAAATTAATTGAAGTATTATGTTGTACAAATAGTAAAAAATATTCCACTCCTTTCTCATACTCATTAATTATGTGGGCACAATTAATTCAACTTCTATTCATTTTTAGATTTTGCAATGCATACACAACTATATAATTTAGTCAATAATGCAATTTGTCAGGGATCGAACATCCCTAGACTCAACACAAATTTGTTCAAAAAAATCAAATATCAATATTAATCATCACATTGTAAACAGTCAATTCATACAATCTTAATCTTAGAAAGTCAAAATAACTACTTATTAGAAAGAAAGAATGAATTCTCACAGGAGGGAAAGAAGGGAGGCCAAGTAAGTTCAATAGGCACAACACCAACGTCAAGAAGGTAGAATGGGCTCTCAAAACTATCTTCACAACACCATGGACCGGCCACATACTCACCACACACACTACCACTCAACCCACATGAAGATTACTCCCATAGACCACACACGAACGGTACTCCCACGGACCCACCACCAACCACTGCCACTAGCGGAGAGAATGCGACATTGTCACCACGGGAGAAAGAACCAGTCATGGGAGAGAGGGAGGATGCAAGAGAGAGAGAAAAGTGGCTCAAGGGACAAAAGAAATTGAGGCGACACAACCAAATAAATGAGGAAGGATGAGGAAGGAGGAGCGTGGCGAAGATGAGAGAGAAGAGTGAGTGAAAATAGGGTATAAAAAATATAATAATAATTATTACTAATAATGATTAACAATTATAAAATAATTCGTCATCGAATAACTATTGTCTCTAACATTCAATAACAAGTTTTACTGTGACCATAATTATATGTGTTATACAATGATAGTTAACCATCATCGTATAATTAGTTATAATTTAAAAAATGTCATCGTGTTGTCTTTTATGAAGAGTCTAAATAACTGATGTCAAGAGATATCATCAATACTCTATTTTATAGTGATAGTTAAAATATAAAAAATAATTAAAAAAATATTACATAAAAGATAATTCATATATAATCATCATTAAAATACAACATCTTTTATTTATTTTATATTAAAATTAATAAAGAGAATATATATATATATATATATATATATATATATATATATATATATATAATCTTTTAAGTCTTTATATATTTTTTTACCACTTTGACTAGTAATAGAAGGAAATTAGATAATAAAAGTACTATGTGAAAATGAAGTGAAAATGGATCGAAAAGATTTATACTGTATGATTTAAAAACTCATGACATCTTTGTCTTTCTCTTTAGACATGTAAGATTGTATAAATAAACTTTTCCTTCCAAACTAGTGCATGTGATATATCCAAACCAATTATTCGTCAAAATTCTAATAATCCTGCTCCACCTATCATAATGTCTAATAACGAGCCACTCATTAAACAAACTAAAAAATGATGATAATCAAAACATACATAATTTATAATAATGTACCTTTACAAGACTCTCAAACTTCAACCAACATTTAATATAGAATATTATTGAACAGACTTATAGACTTAACAAGTTAGTTTTTCTATAAGCAAACACACTAGTATCTTGTTAATCCCACTTTCTACATAATTTGTTTTGAGAATATTGTGATTATGATCAAACAAACACTACAAAAAATATTAAAATTATCGACGGTCAAAATTCGTCGGTAATAACAAAAATCCGTCAGTAAATGAATATTACCAACGAAATTCCGACGACTAAAAATCCGTCGATAATAATTTTATTATTTATTAAATATTTTACTTATTTATAACTTTGAATTATTTGAACTCAGTACCTTAGAGTTAGAGGTTGATACTCCAACTACTAAGCTACTATAATTTTTTTATAACAATTTACAAATAAATTATATTTATATACAAATATATTTATATATTTTTATATATTTATATATATTTATATATTTATATATTTATATATTTATATATTTATATATTTATATATTTATATATTTATATATTTATATATTTATATATTTATATATTTATATATTTATATATTTATATATTTATATATTTATATATTTATATATAATTAAAAATTTATTTTTTAAAATTATTTAATTTAATAAATTATTATAAATTAATCTAATTATGATTAAATTAAATTATTAAATAAAAAATATTTTATTTTTTAATTAGATGAATAATTAAATTATATTATATAATTTTACTAACGGATATATCCGTCGGTAAATAATTGTTAATTTACAGATAAATTTACCGATGGATATATCCGTCAAGTAATTAATTGTTAATTTACTGACAACATCTATAAATTACCGATAGATTTATCGATGGATATATCCGTCGGTAACTAATTATTATTTTACCGATGGATATATCCGTAGTAATATTAAATTCCATAAATATTTTATATCCATCAGGTAATGATTATTTTTCAACGACTATAAATCCATCGATAAATATTCGTTAGTTGTAGTGAAAGTAATATTTGCTCAATCAAGTGCAATCGTTATTTATTTGAGTGATCATGATTGAGGTGCTAGCTTGAATACCAAGAATATTTATATTATATCTTCTTATTCCTCCTTGACAAAAAATAAAAAAATCAACCATGTATAGATCTTCCTCCAAAGCATGATATAAATCAACCTTTTCTAGATCTTACGTAAATTTATTTCTTCACCAACAGTAAAGAAAATAAAGAACAAAAGAAATAGCACCTGTGTCTTATCAAAATTAGGCAAGCCATATATTTTCTCCAGAAACTTTTTTTATTATGTCCCACGCAAGTGAGCATTTTTGTCCTTTTAAGAAAAACAACTTTTTTTTTCTTTTTATAATCGACAAAGTGAATGCAGAAATTAACATTTTCCATCTAATTTTTATTTTTCTCTTATAACGGAGAATACAAAAGTCCATTCATTTGGTTAAAGGCCTATTCTATATATTAAACAAAATTGATCAAATTTTGTATGGATTCCCATACCGTCATTGCTTCTTCTGACCCACATTACCAACCCATATATCTTCTTGCTTCCCATACTTATTCCATCAATTAAGACTAAACACGTGTATCTGTCTTCCAGTGACACGTGGCGAAAACCCATCGCATGAAGACAAAACCAACCGACGAGGACTACCAGTTCGTTTTATTTCGGCGGGTGATATCTTTTGAGGGTCGAAAGAAAAAACAACCTAAAAAATAATCTATTTTATTAATATAATAAAAAAACCTAAAAAATAATCCATTTTATTAATATAATGAAAGAGTTTAAATAAAAATAAAAATAGTTAAAATTATTATTATAATATAAAATGCCCGTTGTTTAGAGTGTTTGTGTTAATAGTGGTGTGAAAATATCTTTTTCCTATTTCAGCTGTTACTATTCCGCAGGAACGTGTCGGCTTCGCACAACCTTCTACTGTTTCGGATATTTACAAGCTTTTTTTGAAGTCATGCTCTTCACTATAAATAACAGTGCAAGGAGTTTCAGAAGAGGCCAAAGCCAAGACGAAACACAAAAATGGGTGCTCTGGATCACATCTCTGAGCTCTTTGACTGCTCCCACACCAGCTCAAAACTCAAGAAAAAGCGCAAGCAATTCCAGGTAAAAACCAATCACATGGCATCACATATATTTGAGATTGAAATAATAATGATTTGATGTATGTATGGTTTCAGACGGTGGAGGTGAAAGTGAAGATGGACTGTGAAGGGTGTGAGAGGAAGGTGAAGAAATCGGTGGAGGGAATGAAAGGGGTGACTCAAGTGGAGGTGGATCGCAAGGCTAGTAAGGTCACTGTTTCTGGCTACGTTGAACCCTCCAAGGTTGTGTCTCGCATCGCTCACCGTACCGGTAAGAGAGCGGAGCTATGGCCTTACGTCCCCTACGACGTCGTCGAGCACCCTTACGCGCCTGGTGTCTACGACAAAAAAGCGCCCTCCGGCTACGTCCGAAACGCCGACGTCGATCCTCGCGTCTCCAACCTCGCACGTGCCAGCTCCACCGAGGTCCGCTACACCACCGCCTTCAGCGACGACAACCCCGCCGCATGCGTCGTTATGTGATTTTAATAACGCTGCCTCGTCGTGTTTTGCTTTTTTCTAATATGGTGTTAATTAAGAAACTTGTTATCTTTGGAATATTGTAAATTGATTTTGATTTTATGTGATTCTGTTTCAAATTAATGCACTTTCTATTCTGCTAATTGATCTTTCTGAGCAAAATAATTGGCTATTTATGTGTACAAACAATATGTGCAACCATAGACACATTAATTGAAAATATCAATGCAATGGAACCCAAAAGTAGGTCAAAAGTTTCAATGAAGTAGTTCCATAATGACGGTGTGAAGCAATATGATTACATGGTTGATATTAAAAAGAAAGGCAAAATAAGCAACCTCTTACGTTATATAGCAGTTGGGAATTGTACGTGTGTACAGATTAGTGGACACAAAGTTATTAATAAACACTTCATGAATTTGAATCTGAGGATTTGATTAATAGAAACCGTTTGAAAACTCGTTATGATTTTTTTTATTTAGATTATCTTCAGAAAAAGAAGAAGATGATAACTTTGTTTTAGAAACAACTATTTTCTTACAAATCATCATTCCCTACAGTTTCCTTTTTATACTTATCTTAAACTCTCTCTTTTTTTCTTTTTTTTTCTCACGACAAAATTATACTATTTCGTCCATATTCATTCCTGAAATTATTGTAGCGAGAGTGAGAAATGGTCCAGAATATATGAATCTATTATTCTATCTACTAGTCCTTTCTATTATATATATATATTAATGTTAATCATTAAAAAACATTTATATGGAAAATGAAACTTTAGGTGGGCTTGGGGAGGTTGTGTAGCCCAGCCCATCGTAACTGTACTGGTCGGGTATTTAAAGCCGTGTTTCCCTCCGACAGAGGCATTCGCGCGCGAGGGTTTGAAGTTTTGGCGCAGAAAGAAAAAAATGGCGGAAGAGTACGATGAAGGTGAGGTTGAAGAAGAGTTCTCCGTTTGGAAGAAGAACACTCCTCTGTTGTACGATTTGTTCATTTCTCAGCCTCTTCAGTGGCCCTCTCTCACCGTTCACTGGCTTCCTTCCTCTCCCCAACCCCACTCCCACCCCTCATTCAATCTCCACAAACTCCTCCTTGCCACTCACACTGCCCAAGGCGAACCCAATTTCCTCATGCTCGCTGACGTTTCTCTCCCCACCGACACCTCACAACCCATCGTCGCTACTGACCCTAACGACCCCGTTCTCCCCAAGGTTTGTTTTTTTCTCAAGCCACTCTTTTTGCTCAATTACATTGTGCTTTCCAAGTGTTCGATGAAATTCCTCAGCGTTATTGCTTGTTGATTTTTGTAGGTGGAAATTTCCGAGAGGGTTGCTGTTGATGGGGAGGTCAATCGAGCTCGTTGCATGCCGCAGAACCCTAGTATTGTTGCTGCAAAGACATGTAATTCCGAGGTTTATGTGTTCGATTTCACCAAGCAATGTGGGAGTGAGTTTGCCCCTGATTTGAGGTTAAGGGGCCACGATAAAGAGGGTTATGGTTTGTCTTGGAGCCCTTTTAAGAGTGGGTATCTCTTGAGTGGTTCGCATGACCATAGGGTTTGCTTGTGGGATGTGCCTGCTGCTTCACAAGAGAATGTGCTTGATGCAGTTCATGTTTACGAGGTAATGCTGTGAATTATTGATGACGGTTGTTTTTTTGTTAGGTCGCCTGGCACTCTGTTGATTGAATTGGAGTTTTGATTTTCTTGTCAGGGTCATGAGAGTGTGGTTGAAGATGTGTCCTGGAACCTGAAGGATGAGAATTTGTTTGGGTCTGTGGGAGATGACTGTAAGTTGGTCATTTGGGACTTAAGGACAAACAAATCCCAGCAATCAGTCAAACCACATGAAAAAGAGGTATTCTGTTTGCTTCGTTATCCTTGCTTGGTCTTTTGTTCATCAAGTATGCAAATACACTTCTTATTCTGAAATGCATTCAAGGTAAGCACTAAGACTTACGAGTCTGATCATCGTTTTTCTGTACATGCAGAAGCTGCATTGCTTTATGAGTTGATCGTTAGGATTGTGTAGTTTCGACATTTACATATGTCAACAGTTGTTATGAACTACAAAGGGTTCCTAGAAAGAAAAAGAAAAAAAGGGTGGATGATAGTGATATCTATTCTTTTGTCTTTTTGTGGGAGGGTTTGCTAAGGAGAAATGATTAGGGTGTGAGAACTGAGAAGGGCGACACGTACTACTTTAAAGATCAGGGCAAGTCGTCAAACTCAGGAAATCCTAGATTTAAGTGAACGGCATTTATACTGACAACCTGAGGTTACGATAATTACCACATTAGGAATGTGTGTACAGTGACATTGCCGAAACTGCTGGTTTTTGGAACGTTGTAGTACAATCTATTTTTTATGCAGTATGGTTGTGTTCTTTTTTTTGGAACGTTCTTTTTTTTTGTTGACTCTTGTTGCTTCCTTAGCCGAATATTATTTGTTTGTAACTTCGTGTTTTCTTTTTGAATCAGGTTAACTTTCTTTCATTCAGTCCATTTAATGAATGGATTTTGGCTACAGCATCTTCAGATACAACAGTTGGTCTCTTTGATACACGGAAGCTGGCAGTTCCACTACATGTTTTAAGTAGCCACACGTACGTCATTTCTCTATCATGCTGTGTTTTCCTTAATACTACACCTAATCTATTATTACCATCATGTAGTAAAAAATAAATATTGGGTTGGTCTATAGGTAGGTAGAATAATTACTTTTGTTGATATGATTTCAATGTGATGACGAATTAGTCATTGGCTTAGAAAGTTTGAATTTTTTTTACTCACTGGTTTGCTTTGTTTTTTATGTGGACAGAGATGAAGTATTCCAGGTTGAGTGGGATCCTAATCATGAGACTGTGTTGGCATCTTCTGGCGCTGACAGGCGGCTGATGGTTTGGGACCTTAACAGGTAAGCGCAGTGTGCTTTGTTTCTTTCTCTTCGCTGACATTTGTTGAGATAGTCGATGTATTACTTTGGGAAGCAATTTGCTCAAGGTTGAAATCAAGAATTACCAAGTTAAATTTTGAGTTGTGAATAGATGATAGTGTTAAATGTAACAATTTTTTAACTGGAAATAGATAAAAACACTTAATATCTCTCATAAAACCAAAAGGATCAGGATCAGTTTAACTGGATTATGTGAAGCTTTTATTTTACAAGAATGAAACAATGCAATGAAAAGCCAGATTGAGTAAATACATTAAATGAGTGACAAATAAAACAGTGGAACAATAAAATAGTATTGAGTTTAGAACTGTTCTTTTAATCCCTTTTGATTTAACAAAATAAGTTTTTTATTTTACTAACTTATCATTTTCTTTTACGAAAACTGGTAAAAGTAAACTGAATAATCGGAAAAAGGTAATAAATCGTTGAATCATGTGATTCATACTGGTGTTCGAAATTGTATTAATACATTATGAATTGTAAGATTCGAATTCGTTTGAGTTACATCATATGATACAGATCCATTGGTAGCCAATTCATAGATCTTAGTTCTTCTAAATACTATATGGTTATTTAGTTGCAAAGTGCAAACTCAATAAAGACATAATAATTATAAATATGAATTGAAATATTCCCTTATCGCTTTACTTTCTTGATGGCTCAGGGTCGGAGATGAGCAGATAGAAGGAGACGGTGAAGGTGGTCCTCCTGAGCTACTCTTCTCTCACGGGGGTCACAAAGGGAAAATATCAGATTTTTCATGGAACAGAAATCTGCCATGGGTTATCTCGAGTGTAGCAGAGGACAATTCTTTCCATGTATGGCAAATGGCAGAGAGTATTTACAATGATGGAGATGATGACTACATGTGGACGGCCAATGATTAACTTAACCAGCACGTGATATTTAATGGAATCTTTGACCGTTCGATTTTTACTACAAACGCCTGTTGATTTTATTTCATGTGGATGTCCTAGAACAGTGATGACAAAATAGTATCTTTTTCAAACATGAATTTTATTTTATCTGCAATTGATCTCGGAAGCGCGTATAAAAGTATGTCATGATAATTTGTGCGCGGGCATGTGACTATGGTCACGGTCGCAAGGCTTGGATGATTTTACTCGTAACAGAACTAGAACAACAAAAGTTTGTGGGCAAAACAGACAAAGATTAGAGGAGTTACTTTTTCACGAATTGTAGTATAAGCCCTGTTTTCTTCCCTTGAAATTGAAAAAAAAAAGAAACGTCACCATCGATCTTAATTTTATAGAACTTTTCAGGGAGAGGAATCTGATTTAAATACTTCCATTTTGTCTATAAGAGAAAAGCCTTTCATCTTAATCCTATTGTGCATCTCGAAACAATTAATAATTGAATAATTCTACCCTTAATTCTCCAGAAGGCAATGTACCTTAAAAACAATACTCACCAAAAGGTAATATCTCAATTATCCAACTTTCAAAAAGAGTGATTTCAAATTTAACAGGGATGAAAAATAATCAATCTTTTTAAAATGGGCCGGTCACTGACGAAGACACAGGTTCAACAGATTCAAAAGTTCGAGTACAAATTTAATAAAATAATATTTTTGTAATATAATAAATATATAATAAATTTATTAATAATAATAATATTTTTTTAAAATAAAAAATTACTTAAAATAAAATTATAAATATAAAATATGTTAAAAAATAAAAACAAAAAATTATTAAAATAAGATAAAAATATAATACAATAAAACATTAATATAAAATAAAATAATTAAAATATATTATATTTTTTATAAAAAAATTATATTAAATAAATTTGATCTTAAATCTTTTTTTTCCAACAAAACTCAATTTAACCAAGAAAAAACTCAATTAAATTTTTACCAGAACCAATTTAATAAAAAAATTCAACCAATTTTCTGTTTTATCTGATTTAAAAATTCCATTATTTAAAAATAACAAATCAATTTTTAGTCCAAGTTCAACTAACCATATAGTCCAATTTTTAAAACAATAAACATAATTACTCTTTTGTAGAGATCAAAATTAAACTTACTAATTTAAAGAAACTATAACATTTAAATTTATTGTTAGCAAACAATAAGTTAATTTCATCATGTTACTCAAAGTTAATATAATGAAACAAATTGTATTGATTTTCATCTTTATTCCTGGCGTAGCTAATAGCTAGATTTACAATCTTTTGATTTCTATATTGAGCCTAAATCACTTAAGGTAATTGGTTATTATTGTAAATCCCCAAACTTGATGTTTTAGAGAACTAACGAGGAACAAAACTTATTTAGTTTTGAAATCCTGATGCATGTTCGGTATAATAAGTTGAACGAGTTAACTAATGCGAGGTTAATTATTACAAATTTTGTCTAGAAATGAGAGTCGAAGTAGAAGATACAATGATAATGTTTTATTAATCATGCCATGCATGCCCAAAAGTGGATCACCAAAAGCCTTTAAAATTACCAAAATCTAGTGAAGACCTGTTCTCTAAGTGCAGACAAGCAGAAATGCCTCCCATCATCAAATCAGCTACAGCTACTTGCGTTCCAAATACAAAACAAGTCACTTGTATGTCTTAACTTGTAGAAGACAAGCCCACATGCAAAATCTTCAGTTAGGGACTACAGTTCCTTCTGGATACATATTAGTCAACCCTTGTCCAGTAAAAATGCTAGACAAAGTAAACCCCTCATATCATCAAGATAAACAAAAATGGAAAAAATAACAAGGCCGCCAATCAAACAAGCCAATTTTATTATTTCACTCACAAGATTTTATATTACACAAAGTGACATTGGTGTCTCACCTGTCCACAGCACTAAGTACTGAAAGATGAAACACACCCCATCTGCCCTATTCTCTGTAATCCAGCAAGGAAGAACTTGCAAATTTAGAAAACATGAATCACGACTTTAAATCCACTTATTATTAAACAAAGCAAAAAATACTCAAATACTTAACAAATTTAAAAGTGACAGAGCATAGAAACATATATGATGTCAGTTTAACTAGTTTCATGCATAAAAAAATAGGAAAAGTAATTGCATAGAGAAGAAGAACCACATCTGTCTCAGCCATAATCTATGCTGGCTACAGATCAACTACACTACTTCTTTTAAATGAAACAATGATCCTTGACTATCTTCCATAGTTGAACAGCCATTCGAACCACGATAATGCAGCATTGGGTAAAAAAGAGAGAACTATTTTCAAAAAGGACTTGATGGATAGCTGATACTGCAACTGGTAACGAGATATTGGAAGGAGATATTACCATGGCAAGGATGAAAACCACCATTCTACTTATTCTTCAACCAGCTGTTGCTGCACGAGATCCCCCTAAAAATAAACATCAAAGTCATCATACTGGAGTCTAGAATTCCTTGTAAAAACAGTGAGAAACAGATTTAAATAACAAATATTGAAAAGAAAGTCTAGGCTCAACACTCTTCGAAGAGTCTAATATATGTTCAATACAATAAATTCGTATTTTGAATCTCTAAATTTCAGTTGCTTAATATTCTGGGAGGAGATCTAGTCATAATAACATGGCATCATTTGTTTACTCATACATGCATATGCGTGAATTCTAGTTATACTAGTCTTAAACAGAATTCTAATACTAATAAATAGTGAGTAATAATTACCCTTTCAAAACCTGGCACTATCAGAGAAGCTATGGTAAGCTTATATACATCTACCAATCAGATTTCGGCCATAAATATAAGTACAACAACGAATCTTAGCAAACAAACATAACACCAAATAAAAAACAACAAAGTTGTTTCAGTGTGACTATCTGAAATCAGAATTTGCAACAATTCATGATCCAAACAGACAAAAAATGCAGGAGATCATATTGCAAAGCAAGTTCATCTCCCATCCTTTCACTCTCAACGCTTAAATCTCAATGCTTTGAATACACTCATCGTTTTTACTCTTTCTTTCACTCTCTCGAATCGCAATTTTTTCTATGCTATTAGATCATATCATCAGCCAGCAATTAAAATATAGACAAGCATAACTACAAATTAAGCAACAAATTTAGCCGAGAATAAGATAGTGTATTCGACACAGTCCCACCTTTTCTTTTTGAGGCGGAAGAATTTACATTAGACCCTGCCTGTCCAACTGCACACGTACGAAGCTCCTTGAGCCCCAAATTCTGGCTTGCTAGACACTGCAGGTTCTCAAATTCACAACCACCAAACCCTTCCTCATTTAACGACACATTCTCCCCGATCTTCCCATCAGCTCCAGGGTGAAGGCAATACACCCTATCATCACACTGCAAGTTGCAAGGGTTCATCACATAAGAACCAGGCAGGTTAACCCCTGGAGGGTTCGCAATAGGCGACTTCTGGTACGGAAAGGACCCAATTTCCCCTTCAATCCTGCCCCTAATGTCCACCAGCAAGCACTTCAGCCTCGCGATTTCAGCTTCCAAAGCAGCCTGGCTCTGCAACTTCTTCATCAAATGCTGGTTGAGAGCCCTCAATTTCACAACCTCGTCCTCCAGCGAGGCCGCGCGAGCCTTCTTCTTCTCGCGATACTTGCGAACCGCTTCCTTGTTCCCAAGGGGCCGCTTCTTCGACTTCTTCTCCGCGGACTCCGCAGTATCATCGGTGGCCACCTGGTCCTCCGCGGGGGCGGGCACGATTTTGGTATGCACGTGGTAGCACGTATGAGTGTGCGAAAAATCGGGCCCAGGAGGGTTGCATGTGTGGGTATGCGTGCAAGCGTGCGTGTCCTTAAGAAGCTCGTCGAAGAAACTATCCATGGAACCACTACTCGGAAGCTCCCCCATGTTCGGACTCGAAAACACTTCATGCGTGGAGAAATCGAGCTCTCCGTCGTCCATTTTAACGGAAATCCCCAATTCAGACCTAATAAAAAAAATGCGCGAATTCAATTGACTTAAACTTGCATTAAATCGAAAACTGTGTGGAAACCCTAACAATATAACATGATTTCCTCAGGAACAGAAAGAAAACCGAGAACGAACGTACCAGGAAGAAGCGATAGGTTGACAACAGATTCTACCACCGACTACTTTTCGCGTTTGACGTTATTTCTCTCTCTGCAATTTCAATGGCTTCAAATTTATACGCCTTACGCTGTAAGAACACCTTCGTGTAGACCAAGACTTGCCGCTTCGTATCTCTCTCCCTTTATTCTGGTCCACACCCCCAAACATTATTTAACGTTAAATCTTATTTCACATTAATATACCATAACAGTACCTTGTTTTGTTCTTTCATAATAATTAATAATACAATCACAAACAAAACTCACTAAATTACTATTCTTAGTAAAATTCAATATGAAATTCATGTTCTTAAGATTTCTACAAGACAAGAGGAATCTTATCAGAACTTGATTATGTTCAACTTTTTCTGTTTGGTTTTTATTCTTTCTCTTAATCCAACCCAACCGCGAGTGTTTCAAACTTAAGCCTCAATTTTCGACTCTAAAGTTATTCACGTTACTTTATTTTAATCACCTTAAGATTCTTACCTACCGTATAACTATATTTTATTTTACATTAACATATAACCTCGTTTTAATTAATAATATGCACATACTTCTTTTCATGTTTCAAAAATTTTAACTTAATCACAAATAATTCACATGATTTAAGTTAAAAAAAATATGTTTATAATTTATCCTTTTCATATTGTTATAACATTTTTTTAAAGTAGAAAAAAGTAAATATAAGTAGTTACATAACAATATATTATCTTTATAACACGATCAATTTTAAACTATTTTAAGAAAACCTACAAATATATTATTATCTAATCAAATTTGAAATAAATTTTTTTTCAACGTCATAATTAAAATTAGTTGAATATTTGCCTAATTTATAGAATCTACAGAAACCAGATTTCATTTTGATCAAAGCAACACTCTTAAGCAACAAAATAATAATAGTGATTTTGTTTTGTTTCTAAAAAATATTTTTTTCAGACAAAAAAAATAGGACAGTAAGATAAAATAGTACAAATAGAAACAAGAATAAACGAAAATTGGAAAAAACAACAATCAAAGCACGAAAAATATAATCATCGCATATTTTCTCTTTTACTTTCACTTTCAGTCCTTTTCAAATGTAGTGGACAGAATGGCGTAGTAGCTTTATTTTAATACGAAATGAAAAAGACAAGTTTTTGTATATGTTTTGGTTTACTTTTTATCGTATTATTTAATTTATGTTTGTATTGACACTCTTTTTTTGTTTTAATTAAGTTTTTTAAAATTATTTTTCGGTAGAGGTTTATTTTTTTAATAATTCAAAGATTCTGGTAGTAAGTTAAGAGGTCTGCGCCTGATGAAAATGTAAAGGCGGAAATAAGAAGATATGATTGGATTAACTTCAATATAAATATTTTTAAGAATTTTAAAATATTTTTTGAATTTAAAATTACTTTTATTGATAAATTGATTATTTTGTATAATTTTCATATCATTTTTTAAATTATATTTTTAATTTATATATATATATATATATAAATTAATTTTATTTAATGGTAAATTTTATTTATTTATTTATTTGTATAAAAATTTTATCTTAGATGAATTTTTTTATAAGCATAAAAAAATAAAAAATAAAAAGAAACTTATAATAATTTTATGTATAAGTAAAAAAAACGTCTTTTTTTTTAAATTAAAATAGATAGATTATACAAAATAATTTATCTATAACCTAATTTTATTTTATGAAAAATTCACTTTATTCATTTCTTTGTATTTTATTTTTTATAAATATATTTTAAAGACGTTTATCTAAACAAATCTTTAGTAAAAATGCTCTTAAAACAAATTAGATGACAGATGAAACGTAAGGGAAAATATTGACAAAACTTTTAGTAAAAAATTAATTTTAATAGATAAAATTGAAAAAAATGTAAGTAAATGTATATATTTTGAATTTTATTTTAAAAGGAAAAAGATGAATTAAATAAATACTTAACACACTCAAAAAATAAGTGATAAATAATAGTAATCGTTATACTATAAAGCTAAAAGATATTTTTTATATAAATAGAAATACTAATAATATTTCCTTTTTGTTGTCTTAAATTTTACACACTTTTCATATATAATATTTTCCATGCTTATATCATAAATTAAAAGAAATGATGGGGTACATGGAGAATTAGGTATAAACAAATTAAGTTTAAATGACAATATTAATTATATTTCTTAGTTTATATACTTGTAGAAGGAAATCATAAAAGGGAACGGAAAAATAATTATTTTTGCATTTAATATTGTTTTCTATTATATTTATTGCCAGTTTAAATTAGTAATACATACAGGTTTTAAATATAATAATTAATGTTTTTAATTGTTTAAAACTTATTATTTCTTAATTATCTCTTCTATTAATTAATTATTTTCTCTGAAATCTCCTCTATTTATTAGTTTTCAATAGTGGGGTAATGTAAATTACTTAAAAGGGAGGTGTGTATTAAGATATTACAATTATAAAATATAATTAATGATACTAATAAAAGGTATATATATATATATATATATATACAAAGAATATTTCATAAAAAATAAATTATCTATCTATATCATCTTTTAACATATTTGAAATAATAATAAAAAAAAAAAAAACAAACCAGAATTCGTTACTTATGAGATTAACCTCTTTGGAAGTCACCTTATACTCCTACATTATTGGTTGAAATTTTAAACATGAGTTTGATTGGAATTTATTATGGACTATGGTCGGTTTCAGTCAAAGCATATATATAATGATGAGTAAGCGAAATAATCGTTGCATATTTGAACCACTGCCTACGATGCATTCATAAAAGTCAAAATTTTGTACATTATTCCAGGATAAAATCAAAAGAAAACTGGCCATTCTACATCTACAAACCACCTCATCACGGGGCGCCGATCCTTTGTTTTTGTGTTTTTTTTTTAACGTAAGTGTACACGAGCAAACTAATGATAGGTGTTGGGAACTTAGAATTGAACAAAACTAACAATTAAAACTTGATGACCTGCTCCATTGTTCTTTCAAGTGCTCACTATAGCTCAGCTCAGTGCTAGTTTGTGACGTTCTGTCATCCAACACACCAAGTAATGCAAGACTCAGGTGTAACTCAGCACTTGAACTTGGATACACTTCATCATCTATGTTTTCTCCATTTTCTGAATCCTCCTCATCATTCCCATGCGAGTTGAGGAAATATTCATCTTTCTCATCTCCTTTTAGGATCTTCAGTATCTGTACATGGTCAACTTTAAGATCCTTCTTTTTCATAGTAAAAAATTATTATTTGCCCGCGAGATGATTTTGAAAAATCAAATCATTTTTATAAAGTGGATTAGTTCGTTTTTTTTTTTTTCCAAATGATTTTTTTTAATATCATTTAGTTCAAATTTTTCAAAATGAAGAACTTTGTAAAAACATGTTAGTTAATTAATCATTTTTATAAACTGGTTCGATTTGATTTTTTTTCACACCCATAATGGAAAATTGATTTTCATTTAGAATATGACAACTTCAGTGTGTCATTTGGTATTTACCTGATTCAGTTTAGGACGAAGTCGAGCAGACCGTGTGATGCATAAAGATGCTGCCAGAACCATTCTTTGCAATTGGACCTCATCAAATTTCCCTTCTAAATTTGGGTCCAATAAGCCTTTAATGTCCCCACTGTCTATTATTGGTTTTGCCTGAAAATGAAATCATTTTTTATAATTCTGCTATATTGTATCAAATAAAGATTTATACTTTGAGTAATGCTATTTTCACAAGTGTTGTTTAATATACTTCTGAACAATTCATTTTTTCTGAGTCAAATCATTTATATTATTTTATGCTTCTCTTTCCATCTCTGTAAGAAGGTATAGCAGGTATAGCAAGAATAATGTCATTCTTATATTTTTTATATGATTAAGAGAAGTCAAAATTCATTATTGTAATTGGGGTTGGGCCTTACCCACACGACCAAGCTCTCCTGTCCTTTGCAAGATGCTGAGCTGATTGGTTCCCTTCCTGTTATTAGTTCAAGTAGAACTACACCAAAGGCATAAACATCTATCTTGTCACTGACTTTTCCATACATGAAGTATTCAGGAGCAAGATAACCAAATGTTCCTACTACATCTTGGGTAAAAATGGATGAAGTTGTTGGTCCCCATATTGCAAGTCCGAAATCAGATAACTGCATCAAGGGAAAATCGTGAGTGACAATGAATTTCGCAGAAAATGTTACTTTATTTAAATTCTAATAGTACTGATGGTCTCAAAACTTTTGACCACCTGAGGTTCAAACCCTTCAGATAGAAGAATGTTAGACGACTTGACATCTTTATGTATGACAACAGGCTTCAAAGCTTCGCTGTGCAGGTAATCAAGAGCTTCAGCGATCCTAACTGCCACATTAAATCTCATTTCCCATGACAATTTGCTCTTTCCTATATCCATTTCCAAATTCATGTCAGCATCATTTACATCTTCCAACAATTGAAATGATGGATCAAAAGCAAAAGCAAAAATTGATTGAAACTTTACCCTGCAGATTTTCCTCTAAGCTGCCTTGGGGGATATAATCATAAACCGAGATTAAAGTATTGTTCTCTGTGCAAATCCCAAGTAGAGGGGTAATGCTCTTGTGCTTCAATGAGGATATTATTTCCACCTCAAGGGCGAAATCTTTCCACGCTTCTTTTGATGACTGCAATACTTTAACTGCCACCGGTTTTCCATCAGGGAGGACTCCTTTGTACACACGATTGCTCCCTCCTTTCCCAACCAAGTTTTCTGCAATGGGATCCAAGGTTATATAATTATATTATATTTATTTACAAATTAAAGAAATCGTAAGTTAGTAGTGTAAGTAATAGTGGTCCAACCTGAAGAAAATTGTCTAGTGCAAGACTGCAGAACTTCAAGGCTGAACCACTTGCAGTCGATTGAATGTACGTTTAGCATCTCCTCTAGGCCATTTGGTAGCTCAACAGATGGAGCTGAAGAAATTTTAGAGCTCTCATCATCAATATCGCTGATGCTCCTTTCAAATGGATTTTCCTCAGAGGAAGAAGAGCAAGGACTTTTATTTGGTGAACGATCTGGTAAGGTCATTACCCATTGTACTACTGACATGTCCCTTGCTTGATGAGTTTGTGACATTCCTGAATTGGCTCGGCGTAGTAGAGGCCACCCAAGCTTCTGCTCAGCTGAATCACCAGAAAGCATGGATGTTGACCTTGACTTACACATTTCTAATCCGTCAGATGCTTCTTCCTTCAACTCTAATGAATTTTTGCTTGCTGATTTCTCAATCTCAACAGTGGAGTCACCAAATGTGGACTGGTTTAATATGTCACTCAAGTTTTCTCCTATGATTGTTAAGCTTGGTCTTGGATCCATTATAAGACCACCTGCCACAAATAGAAACAAGTTTCATTCTATTTCGCTTTTGTCACAGACTTTCTGATGGTATACTTTTTCTACGAGACAAAACCATGGTTTCCTCTACAAAATAAAGTTATTGCTGCACATATACGAACCTGGTAGTTGTTTATTGGTGCACCTCCTATAGACAATCCTTGAGTCTCGGATGGCTAGAACATTCGTGGTGGGTGGTAGTCGTTTGGCGCAATATTTAGCTGTGCCAGCTCGACCCCTGCAATTGAAATCTGCTTTAGTCTTTTAACCAATCAGAGGAGGCAAATGAAGTCAGATAAACTACATTCGTGACAAGAAATAGCACAGATTTTATTTTCTTTTCTAAGCTCCACATACCCTACCACTAGAGCCAGAGCTGTATGCTTTTTTGCTTCTCTAACAAGAATGTTTCGAATGGAGCTTCCATAAAAGATTTGACCAGTGAGATCTACCTGAAATCCAACTATACCCCCGTCAATAAAACCTGTGACATTTACCAACCACATGGATGAAAGCGAAAAATAAGTTACAAGTACAGAAAGGTCTATCTACCTTCTTAACATCACATAGCCCTTCATAAATTTCTAAATAGTCATCAATCATAGTCTTGCTCTTGCAAACATGATCTGCATTAAATTAACTTTTTCAACAACTACATGTGTAAAGAAAAAATAATATGCTAAAAATATGCGTGGAAGCTTTGAAGTTTTTTACCTGGATTTTTAACAACATGAACTGCTACAACACAATCCCCTGGTTCTGCAACTTTGACAAGTGCCCAGTTGACAAGCTGTTTACAAAGGTCATCTATTTTAATCCCCACCAAAACAAACCTCTTTTCAACTGCCATTGCGTTTTTCCTTTACATCAATCACCTCACCTTCGTTGTCGAGTGAACCATCTCATTCTCTGCAAAAACAGAGCAACTAATGGTTGGGACTTGAACCTAATACCCCAATACTTGGCACACCAGCATATACCATAGTTGAATATTAAATAGCAGCACCTATTGACAAAGACGGCGTCCCATTAAAAATATTAAAATTTGTGGCGAGAGAGAGAAGAAGACGAGGAAGAAGAAGAAGAAAACATTAAAAATCACATGACCTCCTAGAATTAATATAATATCGTCGTAAAAAACAATAATGTCATTAAAAATATGTTGAATAAAACAAGATTAGGCGAAAGAAATGTGCACCTAAATGTTGTTGAAAGCAGCCACGTTTATTTAAACTGTGTAACCTACTTGAACTAAAATTGCAAAGATGAGTGAAATTGCGTTTAGGTATTGTGGAAGAACGGAATGAAAGAACACACGTGCAGAAAAATGAGATGTGGAAAAAAGTGTGTGTTCTTGAATGAAAGGGGTGATAAAATTGGAAAGAAGTTGCAGAAGATTTTGAGGCGTGAGGAGGGTATTGTTAAGGAAACGAAAGCAACATGCGGAAAGTACGGATAGAAGGTCCTAACCGGGAGTTTTCGCGGGAAACCCTTAATATCCGGTTCTGTTACATAGTCCGATGAAAACCAAACACTGTTCCACGATTCTTGCGCCTACCACGACCGCATCGCTTCCAATAAATTTTCAAACATACACTCACACTCCTATTATTCTTAATACTAATAATAATAGTTTTATAAAATTCATACACGATGGATCGATCTATTTGTGGTTATCATAATGGCTTAAGTATATTTATCCAAAACCATGCAAATCATACAAATCTAGGACAGTTTTAGACGTTGGAATTCTCTGAGTGCACGTATTAGATTCAAATTTTGCACACCGTTATCTTTTTACCACTCACAGTATTTCCCTAACATGGATGTCACGTAGTATAGTTTAATTTATTAGTAGCTTAACAAAATGAAATTGAATAATTGAGAATGAAATCAAAGTTGAACACGTTAAAATTCTGATTCTTGAACAGGCCCCACAAATTCAAAGTCTAAAGCATAACCTTTCAACTTTCAACCTCAACACAGTCATGTATTCTTGTCAGGACATGTTGCTGTTCTTTGGTGAAAAATGGGGTGACAAATCTTCTGCCTTATCTGATATTAGGTACAACAGAATTTGGTGTGGTATGGTTTGGTTTGTTGTAACTGGAGTTTCACTTTTTTCTTTTCTTTTATTCTGTCCATTTCTGAGTCAATTAAGTTGTCATTTCCTACCGTTTAATCGATTCAACATATCATGTAGTATGAACCAATAATTCGAGAAGAAAACGAAATTAAAAAAAAGGAAAGAAGAAAGGAGAAGTCAAAACATTTTAATACTATTTTAATAGAGAGGGATTAAGAATTTTTTTTGGTAAAAGTTATAGGTCAATGTTTTACAAGGGTATGTTTGTTGGGTAGAACGGATAAACTATTAGGTTTTGATGTTTATAGTTTTAAATGTTGAATTTTCATGCATAGCTTTTAAAAAAAAACGATAATATATAGTTTTATAGTTTGAATTATTTTGTATACTTGATTCTGTATCAAACAATATTTTTTTATGTTTTGACACGTTTCATTATTTATTTAATATTATATATTAAATTATTTTACTTCTAAAAATTAAAATAATTAATATTCTGTCATCACATATGTTAAAAATTCAATAATAAATTAACTATAACTACTCATATAAGCAACGTTTAAAAGCCACCACAAAATCATCTAGAATAATTTATCAAAGGAAATTATTATATTCTTTGAAAAGATGCATGACCAACCGAAATGATCAATGATCCCTTCTCGTTTTAAAAATTAAAATCAAATCCTTATTCTTTCTTTTTTTTTTCTACTTATTTGTACTACAAATGAAAAAAAAAAAAATAGCAGTTAAAGCCTCACAATCGTAGGGTTTTGCTACCATCACATATGAGAAAGGTGTTGTGGCCTACTCAACTGCATCTTTGTAACCATGCAAGAGAATTATTTGGTGCAAGAATATGATGGTGTAAGCATTATTCTTCATGCAATAACGCCAACCATAAGCATGCCAACGATAAGCATGCCATCAAACCCTGTCATTAAGACATTCCATGTAGCTTAAAGGTTTACGTGCTTGATTGACATGGCATCACCAATGTCTAGTTTCGATTATTTTTTGCGTGCTAATCCTGTTTGCTCTTAAAGATGCTCATGTTGCAGGTTGCATTTATTTAAATGGTACAATATCTATCAGAATATTAATCGGATTCTGCAATAATTGCTACCTTTATTCTTTTTATATAAATAAGAAAACCCAACCACTGTGATCTGGGACCGCAGGAACCTGCATGCCTAAACAAATTAATAGTTTTTGCAAAGCTGAATACTTTATGATTCTTGACTGTTTGCTAAATTTATAGCGACACAAAAACACACATCGTTTCAAGTCAGATATATAATTTTAAATGTAACACAAGACTGTTTCCGGTATGTTAAGATGATTACTGGCAGTATATAGTGTGGAGGAGTAATTTACTGGCATAGCATGGACTCTAATAAACAAACACTAAGCTCGAAGTACTATCACAAATTCGTGATTTTGTCAGACAGAATATAATTCAGAACATGTTTCTTTCTTTCCCCCATCCTTTTCAACCGTAGATTATATTATTCAATTTAGTCAACCCTAATTTCAACCCTCAATATAATGCAGATTAAGGCTCAAGAGTTGTCGGAACAAGCTTGAGTGGAATCAGTTTTAGATCACCAATAGCACGATACTGTACTGATTGGGTATTTATTGAAACTTGAATTAAGTATAGGGACCAATGTCTAGATCCAAATCTTACAATGGCAAACAAGTGGATTTTGTGAAAACCAAATGCTAGGATGTAGAACTATTACCTGTTGACTTGAGGAAGTAGAGTATACAAAAATTTAGCCTTGGTATATATTTTCAATGGGAATATATAGAAAAGCTCCAAATTAGAGTAGCATTTATTCATAGAGAGCAAGCTCCGATCACAAAGGTAAAGCCTTTGAGAACAATTCTCATATGTATTCAAGTTTTTCAATAATGCCCAAACTTCATGGTCATATCTATATATTACTATATTAGAATAGTATAAAAGGGAAGGTTTTTGAAGAGCAAAAAGATAATTCCAAAACGTATTGGAGGAGGCAAAAGAGGCAGAGAGTTTTAGCCCATGGCATACTTCTGGGTCCAGCTTCTAGCAGTGGATTCGTACTTGATTTTGTCGTTCTTGCACATGTGAGCAATTTCAGGCATCAAAGGGTCATCAGGATTTGGATCCGTTAGCAGAGAACAAATAGAGAGCAGTACCTGCATCATGATTTTTGTTAACCAGTCAGCATCTACAACAAACAGAAACAAACTAATGACATCAATGAGTAAAGGTCCTCCAACATGACCTTGGATATGGTGAGAGCAGGACTCCATTGTTCTTTGAGTATGTCCAGGCAAATATTGCCATTGCTATTGATGTTGGGATGGAACACTTTGGTCCTGAATGCAACCTGTAAAATAATTTTTAATAATAGCCATCAATTAGATCCAGTCCTTCACAATATATATCAGTTATTAAAATTCGAAACCGAAGACAAAAATGATTTTGTTAGGTGATGATTTTGCTACTATATCTATATATATGAATCTATGTGTATATATGTGGCTGCCTATGTGTACGGCTCTAAAAAACAGTTGTTCCACCTTCAAATATGGCAAAGGAAGAGACTCTTTGATTATCCATAGTCATTTGTAAATTAAAGTTTAGCTGAAATAAAGAGAATGGGTGTCAGAATCAGGAGTAACAGTTCTTGGTGTATACCTTGGGAGGTTTGAAGGGATAATCAGGAGGGAAATGGATGATGACGAGGAAAACACCACCAGCATAAGGACTGTCATTTGGACCAATGATGGTTGCTTGCCAGTTGAACATGTCCTCACCTACAGGACCTGAAATTCGCCATAACAAGCATGTCACACTACACTGCAGTATGGTTGCAACTAATACACAATTCAACTTTCATTTAACCTCCTTACCTGCACTGCATGAAGTTGGTGGATCTCTCTGTAAGTCCTTGAGCTCCTTCAGTATTCTCTTGGATGCCATTCACGTTATTTTAGAATCGTAGAAGAGGGAAGTAAGGAGGACTAGATAGATAGTCAAAAGGGTTAGAACACTACAAGAAATAAAGCAGGTTGCAGGCTATTTAATGGCTGGTGAAGGGAGATTGAACAGAATCAAGAGTTCCATTCACCAACGGAAGTGGGCACAGTATATATTCCTCACGAAAAAGAAGATAAAATTCTAATGGTCCTTCAACTTCTAGATATGGGAGAAACGAAGGAATGAAAGCTGTTCGCCACATTTTGCAATCTCCTGCTGTCGATCTAATCAACGATCTGAGAAGAGTTCACACCTTAAGATTCTTTATTAAGATATTTAAATGTTGAATCTACAAAGGCATAATTATAGTTTAGTTAACCATTTGTAAATAAAAGAAAGTCCAACACCTCTTCGACTATTCAACCCTTTATTTTAGCTTCCTTTTTCTAGCTTTCAGGCACCAGTTACCCTGTGACATGCATCGATGCCGAAACAAGTAGTGTTACTGGACAACCCACGTCCAAAAAGAAGAAATTAGATCCACTCTCGGCTAGTCAATTCTCACAATCCACACATTGAGTATCTGATAAAGTTGGTGACAAGTGAAAGATGAATTTGGTCTTGTTTTGTGAATCCTTCAAAATAGTGTCAATTCCCGTGCAACGGTGCAAGCACAAAGTTGTTGCCAGCTCCCATATTATTCTTTTCATTAATTATCAGTTGAGATTTGATTTAAAATTTCGCTTTTACCAGCCTCAGGCTGAAATTTTCACAAGATTCTATGTTCGCGAAGTCAACCTGACAGGAACAAACAAATGGAAGAATGAAACCTTAATCAAACGAACTATATCCAAGCTGTTAAAGCAGCTAACATAATTAATTACATATACTTAGTTCACATTCAAAGCCACATATGCAAGCACTTCCTAGATTAGATTACAACATGGATAGAATCCGTGTCCACTGCTGGACATGGCCATCTAATAACAATCAATACAACAGGAAAACAGCCAAGAGAAACGCAAGTGTTCTGTGCACGCCAAACATACTGAAATTATGACTGTACAGATCCTACAGCCAGAGACAATTAGACAAATAGCTTGATGCTTTTGAGCGAACCTTGACTTGGTCAGTTGGACGTGGTGATTCCTTCATCTAGGTTGGAAATAGTATAAGATATAGAATGGCAAAGACAAAAGTCATGCCATCCTCCGCAAACTACTACATTAAGATTTAAATATCACAAAATGGAACAGGCCTTTTGCCCCTTTCTCTTCTTTTTCTTCTGCTTTGGGGGCTGGAGAACTACCTTGATGGCCGCATCAAAAACAGCCTTCACATTCTGTATTCAAAGCCTAACATCAATAAGGTTGTCACTTCCTTTAACCTTCAAAACTTAAAGACTCAAAGAACATATATGCAAACCTGTTGTGTTTTTGAACTACATTCAATATAAACTGGAGCACCGATAAGCTTTCTCAGTTCCTCACCCTTCAGAAAATACAGTAAATCAGACCAATAACCTATAAAGTAAGGCCATGACCGAGTTGTGGAGAACAAATAAAGGCTAAATGACAAAACAGTAATAGAAAATGCAAAAACAAATAATTGAAGGATGTACTGGCAAATAACAAGCACCTGTGCTGTGGTAATAGGCACTGCACCAGGATGATCTTGGAAGAACTGCTTATCATCCCGAAGATCTACAAAACAGATTTGGTTGTCATGAAATTGAGATTCTGATAAATCATGAAACTATCTGCACTCTTCTTTCATCTCACACTCCCTAATACACTTTAAAACTCCAGACTTCTCAAGCTTTTATTAGTTACTACTCCTGCGGTATTGAGAACAACCACTCACTTTCCTTTTAGTTTTACGGGAGGTAAACATTGAGCACCAAGGCTCTTCCACAAAGCTTTGTTATATGCGAACCAATTATTTGTTAAACTCACAACTCACAACCGAGGTCAGTATGGAATACAGGAAGGAACTTCATTCTTTCATTCTCTACCGACTAACAACCAATCAAGTAACTGCAATAGCTTCAGATGATAGAATTTAGAAAAAGACATATAATTAGAGGTTGGGTTTATTGAACAAGTAACTTCCCCACTATAGAACAGTGAGGGATGCACAACGTGAGTGTAAGAAGGCAAGTCATCATTAAATGAAGAAACTTCACAATATCATGGAACTACAGTTATGCTGAATCTTATCTACCACATAAGGAGCAGATCAACAGTGTAAACGAAATTAGAGAAAGTAATGAAGGAACAAGAATCTAACCAAGTTTTGTTCCAACAAGAATAATTGGAACACCAGGAGCATAATGCCTCAACTCAGGAATCCACTGGAAAAGGAGGGGGCAAAATTAGTCCAGAGAAGAGAGGGACAAAAGAAAAAGGAAAAGGAAAAATATGAAGCTTACTTTCTTGGCAACATTTTCATAGCTGGCCCTGCTTATGAGAGAAAAAGCAAGCAGGAAAACATCTGCTCCACGGTAGCTTAAGGGTCTTAATCTATTGTAATCTTCTTGGCCTGTTCCATAAGTTGAAAACAACATAACCATGACAAGACACTCCCAAAATAAATAAGTATGAAAGATAAGCCGGAAACTATACTTACCAGCAGTATCCCACAACCCAAGATTCACAGTGCTTCCATCCACAACTACATTTGCACTGAAATTGTCAAAGACAGTCGGCACATAGTCCTGTTGCCAATGAAACACAATATGTCACAATTACTACATCCCAAAGTCACTCCCATGTCTCCGTCAATTGTAAGTCAAACAGCAGAAAGGAAATCGTTTTGAATATCATTACATCAATCCCAATAACAAAGATCTAAGTCCCAAGATACCAATATCAGCAAAGCATCAGCGAAGGATACAGTGTACCTCCGTGGAGTCATATCAAGCTAAAAGACAGCATTTAGGAATCAAAATCAACATTCAAGATTCAACCAAGACTTTTTTTTTTTACTCATTTTACCAAACAAATTACAAACAGGCCTAATTCGACGGTCCTCTCTATGAAGGGTATATGAAATTGACGAGACAAAAAAAAAAAAGAAAAAAAAAATGTTAATCTGTTTAAAAGAAACCTTAGCAACTCTAAATAAAAGGTAACGACAACAGTACCAATAAAACCCTAGGAACAAGAACACACACAAAAAGAAATTAATTACAAAGAACACAAGTAAACCCATTTCTTACAAAGCAAGAACAAATAGATCAGAGAAGTATCCCCAACCCATATTTTGTCATTATCTGAAAACCTAGTAACTTAGAACCTGAAGAGCACATAAAATGTGAAGCTTTCTTTGGGGTGAGAGAAGTAAGAAGAGAAGTGGCACTGACCGTAGGGAAAGTGTTGCTGGTGTAGGAAATAAGCATGCAAGTCTTGCCGACGGCACCGTCACCAACGGTGACACACTTGATGAACCTGGAGGCACTCATTGCAGTGTTTGTTGGAGGGAGGATAAAGGCTAATGGTTCATGTAGCAATGGTGAGTGGAATTGTGCATGTTCAAGAAGATGAAGAAGATGATAGGGAAGGGAGAGAGAAGGGAGAGGAAAAGGGTGTTTGAGAAAGGGGAAAAGAATTAAATTTGGTGTACTGCTGGGGCTGGGCCTGCATGTTGTAGTTGCCAGCTATTGTTTTTGTTATGCCACAAATTCATCATCTTTCCTCTTAGACTACCAAATTTTAATATGCCCCCACCAACTCCCCTCACCTTCACCATAGTGCCTTTCTCAAATGAAGTCATCAAAACAAAAATAAAAATAAAAAAAATCATATTTTTTTAGCATATAGTTCTTGGCATAAAAAATGATTTTTTTACTTTAATTGAAATGTGTAAAACAAAAAATTAAATGCATATAAAGTAATCAATCTTGTCATTAATTCATAAGATATTTATTTATCTTTGTATAAGTAAGAGTTTGATTTACGTTTTTCAAATATTAGTAGATAAAAAAATTGAAATATATTATGTGATGTTTTATTTTTTATTGTTATTATTTAAAATTATAAAATTAAAAGAAAAGTATTAAATAAGTTGTCAGAGTGTTGTATAATTTTTTCAAGTTGAAGAATTAAACAACTAGCCTACACTTTTCAACCAATCCTACTCAACACCAATTTGTACTATTCATCTATAAAGCTTTAGTTTCTATTTATTTCAGGCAAACGTTCAAATTATTATAATTTCAATGGTAATATTTTCTATCATCTTTAATCTATGTTAAAAAAAATAACTTTACCCTTTTCCCTTTGATTTATTTCATAAATTTCATCATTTTTTTCAACACATTTTATTTAGAATTGACAAAAAACATGGTATGTTCTAACTCCATGAATGATGTGAAAAAAAAAATCCAAATGGTAAAATAAAGTGGTGGGATTCAATTTTGGGTAAAAAAACTATTTTGAGTAATTAAAAAAATTAAGTTACATAAATAAATTTTATTTTATTTTCAAAATAGTGCTTAATATGTACACCATGATTCAAATATATGTTTTAATAAAATAATTTTTTTTATATTTGAAAAATATTATTATTATTAAAAAAACACGTGCATAAATCTACTATCTAATTCTACTTAAATCGACTTAAGCAACATGTTAAATCGGATAAATTAACATTGATTTGCTTGAAAGAAAAAAACTTGACCCAACACATTTTACATGTTATTCAACTTATTTTACAAGCTCTAATTTTATCATGTTTATTCAATTTTTGCATATTTTATCATTATATTAAAACGTATAACAAATTATTAATATTTTTAATCACATCATTTTTTACAAACATGATGATAAATGAATACAAATAAATAAAAAAATATTTATAGTAAAATAATGATAATTAAATAATAAAATAGGTAATGAAATCTATTATATAATAAAATTATATATGCATTACTTACAACGTAATGATATAAAAAGATTCTTTTTCGGTAATTTTGTTATATTAATCTTATATGTTCTATTTTTTTTAAAATATCATTAGATTATTCTCTTTTTAAAACTTCCCTCATACACATGTTCAACAATGTATTTCAAAAAAGGTTTCAAACTTTTCTCTCAAATAAAATTAATAATAAAAATATATATAATTCTCTCTCCTCTTAAAACGATCTTAATCACACATGTTTTATTATTTCTCACTCTGAAAAAATTTATTAAAAAACGTAGAAAAATAGGACAGAACACCTATATGTTTCCACCGGTTAAGATAAACAATCTGTGTTTTTTTAATTGAAAAAGAATTTATTATTATAAATTATTATTTTGATATAAACATGGATAACTTTATCAATTAGATGAAACTTTAATTTCAGTTAAAAAAAATTACGGAAATATATGTATAAGTTTTGTATGAACATAAGATAAAATAAAGATTTTGTTTTGCAAAAGAGCCATTGGCTATAGTTGTGGAGGAGGTGAATTAGACTTTTAGGTTAATTAAAAAATTAAAGTAGTAATTCAAAGAATAAATTATTGATCGAAGGAATCTCTCGTTAGAAGAGAAAAAGAAACGGTGGGAGAAGAAAAAAGAATAATGTTCATCGTTTAGTGTGAATAAGGAAAATGTTTATTGTGAATCCAAAACTTGCACCATCTGAATTCCTGAATGCTCAGAGATAATGTGAAAGTCAAATGAAGGCATGTTGGCGTCCACTACATGGAAGAACATAGGAACTGCTACCATTAATGAGGACAAGTAGTTCTACAAAAACTAATATTTTTCTCATCAGCCATGTGATTACAATAACAAGGGGAAATTAGGAATCAAAATTTTACATTTAAAGATGAGAGGGATGGGTAATGCATCCTCCATTAAAACCACGTGGAAGATGGTGACAATGATGTGAAAGAATGCCACAACATTCACACTTGCGAAGAGAATGGACCAGGCTTTTAATTTCCCTTCATTAGGAAGCCTTGATTCATGGTTGGTTTTGGAAACATGGACGTTGTAACCAAAAGTGTGCTAGAGACTCATAGTCGGGGTAAGCTTTCTGTTTCATCTCTCATGCTCATTAGATAAAGTATTCGTTTGTTGATGATTTTAAAGGAGTTTAATATAAGAAATTTTTTTCATATGATATTATCAAAATAAAAGATATTACATAGCAAGAATGATGATAACTTATGAACCTCTTGCTCCATCACACTCACCACACAAACATGCCACAAAAATTGCTTGAAAAAGATGAATGGTTGTTGAGTGTGGGTGGTGGTACCCCCACCTAATGAGATTAGTTGGAGGATCACAAATCAGGAATTGTGACGTTTTACGGAACTGGTGGTATCAATTATCTGCCACTGATTAAGCAAATGGAGGATTATCAATTTATGAATAATCTTCACACTTGAAAGATTAAGCAGAAGCAACAAGTGAATAACGAGACAATATCTCAAAATAATCAATTGCATGGATCAAGTCAATTGTATATATATATTGGTCTCTGTGTAAAAGATACGGCACGTATCTCTTGGAATTTTCGAATTGAATTAACCTGAAAATAGTAATTTGTGACTATCTAATCTACACCTAAACCTATGTGAATCAACCTTCCACGACCTGATTTTAAGCAACCACCACGATGTATGGGTCGTATTCAATTTTTGGTTCGTATTCCAAAGTCGGGTTATTTGTTCAAGCAATTGTAAATTTTTTCAATAGACTTAGTCTATTTTATCTTGTTGCTTCTTTGCGAAAGAATACGGACAAAAACACAACTCTGGCCCTATTAGAGGAGTGTTGGCAATTGAATAGTCAAATTTTTAATCTAAATTTGATAATGAATGAAATGAAGATAGTGGAAGAATGATATCAACAAAAACCTTCTAAATAAAGGATTAACATCCATTTTATCCCTCAAACCATACAAGAATTTTGATATAATATCTACGTTTAATCATTTTCTATTTTTTAGTATTTTGGATTTGATTAATTACTAGTTTTGTTAATATTATAAAGAATTGTTGGTTAACTAGTAGGTATAGTAGGTTAACACCATTTAAACAGATTATACTTTATTTTACTTTAATATAATATGATTGGACTGACTTTTTTATTTTTTCCGTTTCGTACACTTAAAATAATAAAATAATTTTCAAGAAGTCAAAAACAGCAAAGAGTGCAAGGGGGAGTGTTTACTTATTAACTATTTTTTAAATTATATTTTATAACAAAAATCATTAAAATTAAAAATAATTTAACAACACAGTAAAAAGAGTGAACTGTATTAGATTAAAAAAAAATTAATAAAAAGAATTCCTATGGAATTCAACAACTATTATAGTTTTTTTACTTGTGTAACCCTTCTAACATTAAAAAAAATATAAATTTATCTAATTAGTTTTTTTATGTTATAGAATATAAATATGTCATTATATTTGAGTTCATAAAAAATATAATAATAATTTTAAAATTAATTTTAATTTTTAATATTTATTTATTTATAATTATCATTAAATATCACATATCATAACCATTATAAAAAATTATAATAATTATTGCACGTGATATGTTCAAAAACAATTGTAAAACACACATATAATAACTTTTTAAAAGACGATTTATTTATAATCATTATTATTTTATTAAAATTTTAATTCATTTATTTTTATTAAATTTTTTTATATCTTTCTACCTCTTTCATATTGAAAACATATATTTTTATTTTTTATATAAATTAGATATTAAATTATTTTTATTGTTTTAACTTTTTAAATATTATTTATATAATAAGAAAATATATTAGATTAATTTCAGGTAATTAAAATTAAAATATTATTAATATTTAATATTTTATTATATTTTTAATATATATATATATATATATATATATATATATATATATATAATATGAATAAAAGATTAGGAGAAGTTCTTCTTATTATCGAAAAATTATTTAAGACTAAAAAAACCCAAAAAAAAATATCATAACCATCATTTTTATAAGAGAATGAAGTTGTTCAGAATTCATTATTCCATTATTTAATGATAAAAATTAGAATATATGAGGTGTGGGAATATAATCTCGTTATAGTCCACATGAAAATAATTTCAGCTAATGAAAATTTAGAAGAAAAAACAATGAAAAAGCAAAAGCAAAAAAATTTGGTAATCTATTGCTTTATTGTTAGACAATAATCTGTTTAGGATTATTTTTTTATTAAAGCATGACAAGAGAATATCATATTGTTATAACTATTTTATTATATTATTTTGATGAATGTATCTTCCAAGCTAAGGAATACTAAAATAATAAATATATTCAAAATAATAATACGTGTTTGTCTTTTCTCATATTACAATAAATATATATATATATATATATATATATATATATATATATATATATATATATATATAATCATCATTGATAGAATTAAGATGTGAAATATTATAAACGTGGTCAGTGAAAGAAATACATGCAAATTCCAACATTAAAAAGTTGTCTACAATATATTTTATAATCAATAAATTCACATGTGGTTCAAACCGCATGCATGATCAAAAGTTTTTTAAATAATTCAACAAATATATTATTTTTAAAGTAAGGATTCACTGTGAAAAATAGATAAATGGCAAAATTTGTTTTTAACAAAACATTTTCCTATTAATTCAATAAAGATTATATTTTTTCCTTTAGAAAAAAAAAAATACAAGAGTTTTGTTTACAATTAGTGCACGCCTTCTAACATTAAGAATAAATTTCATCTGTTGATAGATTTTTTGTGAAATTTATTTATAAGATGTATAAATGTGATAATTCAATCGTCTCACTCAAACTTTTATCATATAACGTGTTTTTCAATAATTTTTTTATGAAAATTTTCATTCACCCGTTATAATAAGTTTGACTGTTATTTTTTATAATTAAATTTTTTTTTATAATAGTTCAATTTTTAATTCACTACTTATTATTATGGTTTAATAATTTTCTATGTTGGTATAAAATTAAAATGTTATAGTAAATAATTTTTATGGTTTTTATATTAGTTTAATTTTGAACTGTTAATTATTATAATAGTTTAATTTTGAATTGATGTATAAAGTAATTTTGTCAATTTTAAATAAGAAGTATTTTTTATGTTAGTTAAAAATTGAATCGTTGTAATAAATATTTAATATGACAGTTCAATGAACTGTTATCAAAAGTGTTCAGATTTAAATTTTTTAAATTTATTTTATCTTTTTCATTTTTTATTTTTCAAGAAAACTTTTTTCAGTTTTTTTGTTCTTTTATTTTATTATTTTTTTCACATTCATTTATTATTATCTTTCCCATGCTTGCATCACCACTTTTTACAATCTTTTTTATTCCTCATTTACAATAAAAATAATACATGAAAGCATTGTCTCATCTTTTTACGTATTAATTAATTTGTATTTGATGATTCAATTTGATGAAGTATTTGTTAAATTATAATTATTATTGTAAATTTTTGTCCCATAAATGATTTTTCATCTAACTAAATGAAAATTACCTATATTTTATGTTTAATTATTTTTCATATAAATAATGATTGTATTTAATTTTTAAAATTTATTATTAAATTAAAACTATTTAATAAAATATGAAATATAATTATATATAAAAAATTAACATAAAATTTTGTAGAACAATGATGTTAAAAACCGATAGTTATATTGATAATATAACTAACATAAAAAAATATAATTAATATAAAATAAACTTCATAATAAAAATATTCTTTATTCTATTCACACTATATTTATGCTAAAATATGTTTTAAAATCTCAATCCGCTACAAACCAATTTGATACAAACCTCTTACATCCATTCAAAATACTTACATGCTAGAACAAATAAAATTTGTTAATACTAGTATGCACTTATAAATATAACCAACCTAAAACAAAATTAAATCTCAAAATTGTACCTAATATATAATAGTTGAAAAAAATAAAACTTTCTATTTTAGTTTCTAAAGCCTTGTAAATGACTTTTTCAACCATATTTATTTCTCATGAATCAAATAGTATTTGTGAAATTAAGAAAAATCAATCATAGTAAAACTTAATTTTGTTAACAACATTTTCCGTGTTTATAATAAAATTATAATAATCAGGGAGTAGTTTGCAAGTATGCTGGGGTATAAGTACAATATTAATAAACTTCAACCAGACGTCGATGTAATTTTCTCAATTTTATATAACAATGATTAGACAGAAATGTCCAATCAAAAAATAATACAAAATTAAAAACCTGTTATAAAGGAAAAGAAAATTAAATTAAGAACCTCACAAAAATAGAACCCATACAGTTAAATATAAAATATAAAATTTATTAATATTATACTGATAAAAAAGTTGTTTAAGGAATGTTTATTTGAGAAATAACTTCAATGTATATTTTTTCCTTAAAATAACTAATGTCTTGTTGACCGAATTAAATTCTTAAATTTTTGTAACGACTGAATCTACTGCTGAATTTGGTTGGAGAAAAGATTCTTTAAAATTCATTTCTTATTTGTATAAATAATTAGAACCGAATTACACTATTTTTGGTGTTTGCATCTTTTAAGAAAACATTGTCCACACATATTTTATAATAATAATAATAGAAAAATAGAAGAGATTATTGAGTGTGGAATGGAGGAGGAACACCAGAAATTCAAACAAAGAATAATGGGCAACAAAAGAAAACTGAGTGTGTAGCTCGCAGTGAAAGAAGGAGAAAGCAAATATATGCATGCGACACGTAGGGTTATAGGACAAAGCTTAACCATGGCCAATGATTCCTAACAGAAATTTTACATGGGAAACCGAGGTTCCTCCAACACTTTATAAACACATCCTATGCAGCATCATCACACAAGTCCTGAACAACAACAACTCTCACTTATGGATTACGGAAACAGTCTCTGAACAACTCCTGAATCTATTTTTTTCTTCTCTGCGCTCATCACACACTCTCAACATGGCAACTCTCAAACTTGTTTTCATTACCTTGCTTTACATCACTGCTTCACTGACCATTGCTTCCTGTGCCAAGGAACAAAAGAATGAGAACACTGATTCCAGCGTAAATGAAGGATCCAAGAAGAAGAAAGTCACTTATGATGGCAGGTCACTCATAATCGATGGAAAACGGGAGCTTCTCTTCTCCGGTTCCGTCCATTACCCTCGAGTTCCCCCAGAGGTACCTTGTTCATCAAGTAACACGCAGAAATTGTTGTATTGTGTGCATGTTATATGGTCTCAGTGAATCTCAATATAACATGAACTTTATTAATCTTTTGTTGCAAATTCAAGAACTTTACTCCATGAGAGGATTCCAAACCATGTAATAATTTCTCGGTATAATCTAACAAATGGTTTTGTTGGTGGGTGTGGGTGTACGTTTTCAGGCGTGGTCATCAATTATTGACAAATCAAGACGTGGAGGTATAAACGTGATTCAAACTTACATCTTCTGGAACGCTCATGAGCCTGAGAAAGGAAAGGTAAATTGTTTCTGGAACTAGATTGAACTACTACATGCATGTATGATTAATGAATGTTCTAGCTTGACTAATTGGTGGTTGGTTCCATAATTTTGCAGTTCAAAGTGGACCCAGAGTATGATTTCGTGAAGTTCATGCAGATCTGTCATGATAAAGGACTGTATGTAACCCTCAGGCTTGGGCCTTTCATCCAAGCTGAATGGAATCATGGGTATGCCCTTTATTTAACTTATTTCTGAAATCAAAATGTATGTTCTCAACAACAAATACATCTTTGCGTCTCTCTTATGTGATAATGATTTATGTGCTTCAATGTTGATACATCAGAGGACTTCCATATTGGCTAAGAGAGGTCCCTGATATCATATTCCGCTCTAACAATGAACCCTTTAAGGTATGTAATCAACCGTTTGTGAGGTTATAATTTCTGGAAACATAATTTAAGATTTTCAAAATCATTTCTAATTTGCAGAAGTACATGAAAGAATATGCAACAACTGTTGTAAAAATGTTGAAAGATGCGAACCTATTTGCTCCCCAAGGAGGCCCCATCATCTTGGCACAGGTTCTGATTTTCCACATGACAAGTCTTCTAACTATATTTAAATTACGCACGGATATGTAACATAAGCAATGTAGTGCTTACCGTATTTTATTTACGTACTACAGATTGAGAATGAGTACAACCATATCCAACGTGCTTTTAGAGAGGAAGGAGATAATTATGTCCAATGGGCCGCAAATATGGCAGTGTCACTGGATGTTGGAGTTCCATGGATCATGTGCAAGCAAACGGATGCTCCTGATCCAGTGGTAAGTTCATGAAATTGTTTAGAAATAAATGTCCTTCCAATCAGGAGGAGAGAAGAGATAAATATTAAGGCATGCCTGTTATCTCTGACCTGACCGTGCCTACTTCATTTGCCAGATTAATGCATGCAATGGAAGGCACTGTGGTGATACCTTCTCAGGCCCCAACAAACCCCACAAGCCTGCCCTGTGGACTGAAAATTGGACTGCTCAGTAAGTATATTAGTCAATGATCATTTTTTTTTAGTCAACTATTTTTTGAAATGCAGAGCTTTTCAGAGATTCTCTGATGGAAATGGTGTTTTTCCAATAGAAAAGCTCTCAAAAGCTCTTCTAACTTTGTATGCAAACAATTCCTAAATCGGACTTTAAACATATATTTGATATTTGGCTTACCTTACCCCATTTGCAACTACAGGTATAGAGTGTTTGGAGATCCACCATCCCAAAGATCAGCAGAAGACATTGCCTTCTCAGTTGCTCGCTTCTTCTCCAAGAATGGGTCTTTGGTGAACTACTATATGGTAATAAATAACCTCATGATGCTATATTTAGCTAGCTACCAAACTTCTTTATGAAATGAAGTTTTGGACACTGAGTTTATCTTCTAACCGACTCAATCTGAAACTTGTGTAGTACCATGGTGGAACAAATTTTGGTAGAACAAGCTCTGCCTTCAGTACAACCCGATATTACGATGAAGCACCTCTTGATGAGTTCGGTTTGCCCAGAGATCCAAAATGGTCTCACCTGAGGGACGTGCACAAGGCATTGAACCTATGCAGGAAGGCACTGTTCGGGTGTGGAACTACCGTCACAAAACTGAGCCAGCATCACGAGGTAAGCATCTAATCTGACACAGCCTTCTTGTAATTCACATTCCCATAACAGTTCAAGCCGTAATGCTGCAAGTTTAAATTACGCAGATTACAGTTTACGAGAGGCCAGGTAGTGACTTATGTTCTGCTTTCATCACTAACAACCACACCAAAACAGCAGCCACCTTAGAATTCAGAGGTTCGAAGTATTATTTGCCACCACGTTCCATTAGTATCCTCCCTGACTGCAAGACTGTGGTCCTCAACACCCAACATGTAGCTTCTTTTACCCTTGATTTTTACAAGGCTTTGAAATCTTCGCTTCTTAATTAGTCCTTGCATTTTAATTTGCATCGCCTCCTCAATCAGATTGCTTCACAACATAATTCAAGGAACTTCAAGAAGTCAAGCCAAGCAAACAATCACAAGTGGGAGGTGTTTACTGAGAGCATTCCAGACCCCAAGGATATACCAGTTAGTTTAAATGTTCCCATAGAGCTTTATAGCTTGCTTAAAGACACCACCGACTATGCATGGTATACCACCAGGTGAGTTCCTGTCTACCACTGAGGGTATGGATCTTTTAGTTTGTTTGCATTATTATCCCATCCATATAATTTCACCATGATATTTCATCAATCTATTTATTCTCTACGTCGGCATTTTATGCAACCGCTGTCTGATACCTTTTATATATTTTATGCAGCTTTAAATTGACTCCGGAAGACTTGTCAAAGAAGAATGAGATAACCCCCGTTCTTCGTATTATGAGTCTTGGCCATTCATTGCTTGCCTATGTAAATGGAGAATTCATTGGTAAGAACACAGAAACTTGACTAATGATCATTAGCCATCTTAGCGGAATGTATTTGGATTTATTCATGCTTGAAGAAGTATCGTCTCTTATATATATGTCAAACTCGTGAGTGGTGTTGATATTTGGCTAATTAACTGTCTTGATGATTTTAAGGATCAAATCATGGTACTCACGAAGAGAAAGGGTTTGAACTACAGAAAGCTGTAAAGTTGAAGGAAGGAGTTAACACGATAGCTATCTTGGCTAGTACTGTTGGACTCCCCGTAAGAGGCTCAACTTTTTCCTTCTCCCCTATTTGCACCACTTGTTTGTTTTAAGGAGGATAATTTCATTCTATTATTGGATCCCCTTTAATAATACAGGACAGTGGAGCTTACATGGAGCACAGGTATGCTGGACCCAAGTCTATACAAATCCTTGGTCTTAACTCTGGAAAAGTTGATCTGACTTACAATGGTTGGGGTACCAAGGTATTATTAATAAACCAGCCTATTTAAAACACAGTTGAAAAGGGGATATTGTACAACTGAGTTGGTGCCGTTTTGCAGGTTGGTATCCAAGGTGAGGAGCTTAGCATTTTCACTGAGAAGGGATCAAAGAATGTACAATGGCAACAGGTCCAGGGAACTGGAAAGACTCTCTCCTGGTACAAGGTAATTGTTACTGGGTTAAAATATTTCAAGTTTTTTTTTTGTTTCTTTTCTGAGGGGACTCGATGAAATCAAACATGTCTGAATTCTTTTACAGACAAGTTTTTCAACCCCAGAGGGAAGGGATCCTGTTGCCATAAAGATGACTGGTATGGGGAAGGGAATGGTTTGGATCAATGGTAAAAGCATTGGTCGTCATTGGATGAGCTTCCTCTCTCCCCTTGGAACTCCTACTCAATCAGAGTAAGTAAATCCCTGATAAACAAATATTTGGCCTAGAAATCCAAAGGAGAAGAAAAAGAACCAACTCAAGTTATTCATTATCCTTCTGGCTTTTATTTGCTTTGTATCAGGTACCACATCCCAAGATTTTTCCTCAATCCAACTGACAACTTGCTTGTTGTATTTGAGGAAGAGAAAGCAAACCCAAAAGATATTGAGATCGTAACTGTTGACAGAGATACAATATGCAGTGTGATCACAGAGAATCACCCCGCACACATAAGCTCATGGGAATCTAAGGGTGGGAAGTTCCAGTCTGTTGTTCAAAATCCAGTGCCATCAGCTACACTCTCATGTCCACTCTTCAAAACCGTGAAGGCCGTGGAGTTTGCAAGCTTTGGTGATCCTACGGGTATCTGTGGAGACTTTGTCATGGGAAAATGTGATGCACCTACAACTAAGCAGCTTGTTGAACAGGTAAATCTCATTTCTTTCTCTTCAAAATAGACCATTATCAACTAACTCTCTTTTATCTTATGCTGTGACAAACATGAGGCTGAAACTTTTGTTTTTTGTTTTTTGTTTGTGTGACTTTGTGCAGCATTGCCTGGGAAAAAATTCATGCAATGTTCCATTTGACAAGGCAACCTTCACTCAGGGCAAGGATGCTTGCCCAGAAGTGATGAAGATACTTGCAATCCAACTCAAGTGTGACTTCTAGAAACCTGTCACTGAGAGATAGTGCTGAGTGGCTAAGTCAGTCATTTGATCGCTGAAGTCCACTCCATGAACTCAGATTTTAGTTAGTCTTTTTGTTTTATAGAATACGACACGACACCTCAAATAATAAGTGTCTTTATTTAACAAACAACAATTTTGCTTCCATAAAATGTACAGAAACTATTCATACAAGTTTAATAAGATTATTAATTTTTTATACAATGTTCTTTCATTTTCATTTTGCGAGGTATGATATAATTTATTATGTTTTTCTATACATTCTAATAATAAGGTTTACACTTGTCAACTATCATTTTTAAGTTGATTAAAGCAACTGAAATGCAATAATTTTATTTTATTAACTGCCAGGTTAAGACGAAACGGAGTATATTTAATTGATTAATTCTCGATCACAAATAAAATCTAAAAAAAAATGTCAAGTGTTATGTGACTCATCTTTAAACTAAACTCTTAATTTGTTTTGTCCTTTTGTGTAGAAAGCAAGAGAGACAGGATTTATAAAGAAAAAAAAAGCTTTTTTACTTTTTCTCTTCGTACAAGCGAAGATTTGCTGAAAGGCAAAGATATTGGAATAAATTGAATAAAATAATAATTTTATTTTAAATGTTTTAAAAATAATAATTTTTTAATTAAAATAATAATAAATATATTAAAAATAAATATTTATATTTTATTTTTTACTATTTTTCTTTATTTAAATAATTTTATTTATTATTATTATTCTTTAAATTTATTTTATTATTTAAATTTTTATTAATCAAATCAACCTTATCAATTCTAATCTTTCTGTTCATTTTTTTTAATCTAAACAATCCCAATCCCATTTTCCATTTTCTTGCTCTCACCTTCCATTCTTTTAAATCATGTCTTCAATCCAAACATAATATATTAAGGACAAAACCAATTTAAAAAAGTAACTTATTTAATTCTTTTACTTTTTATTCATAGTTTATTTAAAAGTAAGCAAAAAGTAGTGTATATTGTATATCTTCAAGAACCGTTGTTGAATCAAATAAATTAACCCAGAAAGAAAAAACATAAATGAACTTGTATAAGTTTAATAATCAATTTAATTACAAAAATTAGTTTATGTTTAATGCAAAAAAAAAACAGAATCATGATGCATTCTCACTATACAATTAAGTAAGTTGATTATCATAATCCGTAAAAGTGACAACTTGTGTTATTTTAATCTTTTAAATGGCAAAATCACTAACAATTTGTTCTAACATGATGTCCGTTTATAGATAATATTATCCCTCAAACATTTTTTTAAGCACAAAAATACTATTAATGTATGTGATAACTTTTGAAATTTACATTAAATTACTTATTTTTATGATAAATCCAATATATTTAGATCATAGGAAAAGAATTTATATCAATGCTCAATCAAATTTATATCAACCCTAGACGACTTAAAAATTTTTGAACCTGACAATTTGTAGAGTTTTGTGTGCTGGGTGCGTTCAATGACAAGAACAAGGTTAAAATATTTATCTGGTGATTAAGACAGACATTTTTTTACGGGCTCCAATAACTTAACAGAATCATTATTCGTATTCTCAATCTGGTTTGATTAGGTTTGGTGTTAAAAAATTATTCTAATTAAAAATAGAATCTTATTATCATTCAGTTTAGTTTGGTTTTAATTTTAAAATAAAATAAAATAAGATTATATTAATATTTTATAATTTATTTTAAATGATTTTTATCATTTTGTATTATAATTATTAAACATATTTATAAAAAAATAATTATTAAAAATATCATATATAATTAATTATGATATTTATAATTGTTATATGTTTTTATGTTCAATTTAAATAATATCAATATATATTTTAAATTATATAAAAAATATTATATATTATATATTTTAATTTTAAATACACACACACTATATATATATATATATATATATATATATAATTTAATTTGATTTAGATTAATTATTGATGATTAAACTTAAAATCAAACCGATCAGTTTTAAATATTTTCGAAAAAAATTTGATTTTTAATTTTATTAAGTTATTTTTTAATTTTATTTTAAGATTGATTCTTGAACTCCTAATCTCTGAATAAACAGGCACACAAAAACCAAATCCCAATATAAATATAATTCGTGCTTATTTGTGTTAAAGTTTAGATGTCTCCCACCTAAATGTTACATATGTTCAGAGTGCATCGAAATTAATACTATTTTGAAAATCAAACAGGTCAACAAACAAACTGACTTAAAAACTGATATATTATTTTTAGAATAATCAAATTTTAATTTAATCAATATAAAACCAAAATAATCACTAATTTCTTTAATCAAATCAATTTTAATAAAAATTACAATATTTCTTTTATTATATTTTTAACTTTAAAAATATATAGAAGTTATTATGATAATATTTTTTGTTATTATTATAATTATTATCATTTTTTTATAAAAGTTATTTATCATTAATATTTTTATTATATTATTATATAATTTTATTAAATCCAATTCAATCGATCAATTGTGTGACCAGTCGATAATTTAAAAAACATGGAAATTAATTAATCTAAGAGTTTCTGATTTTGGGATAACCATATCAAACAGCATAAAATCATTCATAATACCACAACGATGCTCTTGTCAGGAGATCTAGCGTGAAATGACGAAATCATAAATCATAGTATTTGATTTCTATTCCTTCTACCATCTTCCATACATGTATATTATAACTAACTGCCAATAATTTTGACTTGAAAACAGAATGAGGAAAAATTTAGGGGAAGAGGGGTGGGGGAATAACTCAACATTCCTATTCTATTTACACGTTGTAACGGCTAAAACGAGCTCCGCGAATCCCTTTACACCTTGAAAATGAGGCAATCAAATTCAACTGCCAACAATCAAGAAATCCATACGTATTAGATTATCAACAAATGAAAATGAACAAAACGATAAGACGCTCTTTGTTAAATTGCTTAATATAATCAACAAATTCTGCACATGTTGCAGCTAAGAATATGATTGATCTATAGTATAAAGAATGAATAGCAAGGTTTCACAGTGGTAAACTCACCCCAACCATGCTAACACCTTTGACGTGCTTGACCCAACTGAGGCCATTATTTGAGAAGCAAGAAGGAAAGTACAAGCAACCAAAAAATAATTAAGCCTCGAGAGTAAACCCTGATTCATCATATTAACATACAGGGTCGGGTAGGTTAGCTCAAGGTCATGATAAATCAAAGGATCCCTGGCCTTCACTGATTGCATAGAGTAGCTTCTTGTACATAATTTCCTGTTGTAAAATGGAAATAAAAGATTAGCACCAAAAGATGCTTTGACATGCATGATCATAAAGTCAACAATGCTTTGCCGTATTCTACCTTGCTAGAATAAGGAGGAAGCTTCAGGTAATTTGCACACGTCATCACACTTGGCAAGTCATCATCCGCTGATTCTGAAGGCCCGTTCCCATTAGATGAAGCATTAGCTGCACTTGACGAAAGCTGCACCAAGACATGTAAATGTAATTTACTTATTAGCATTCAGTACGTATAGTTCCCCCCTCCTCCAAGGAAACTAAAGCAATGTATTCACGCTACAAAGTAAATCTTCTGCTTATCACGCTACATTTATTCTGTAAAGCAGCAAATCCAGATCAACACATATGTTACGTAATAAAGAGCTGCAGTAACATTACCAAATTTCAAATAGCACAAACACAGGATCACCCCCACTACACAACACATAGTAAGACACTTTTAACACTCAAAATATCAAGTACAAAACTATATGAAGGCATCATCAACGAACTAGTAGACAGGTTGCAAGTAATCAAAATTGATTTTTCTAATACCTTCCTCACAATTGTTAGTTTTGGATTTAGAACTGCCAGTCCACCAGGTGGCAATCTAGGTGCACCAGTAACAAATTGACAGAAGGCTCGCTGCTGTTCTGGTGTGAATTCTCCCATAATTTCAAGTAACTGAAAATAGCATCATCATACAGAATGAACTTCGAGTATATAATAAGCCAAAAAAATTCCAATAACAGAATTGTCCTACTACAACAACAAGAATCGTACATTTACTATGGCTGGGCTCTTGGCAGTATAACCATGGTCAAATTTTATATGATCAGCTAGTGTCTCAGTCTGCAGAAAACAACCAAATTTATGACTACCATGGTAACATTTCAAATATTGTTGTAAGCAGCAGCAATATATTTGGGTAAAAAACAATACCTTCCACAATTCTCTACGGCCACAAAGCAAGTAATCCAGTTCTTGGGGAGTAAAAATTTGCAAAGATGAGATGTCAAAAACCTGAATTGACAAACACCAACAGGGAAAGTGATAAATGTTTAGTTTTTAACTTCAGTAAATGAGTACAATATCCAACATAATTTTTTCAAGTTCCAACTAGTGTCCAGCCCATCTATCCCACACAAGAGGAGCTAGAAGCTCATTTCACTTGTCAAATTATAAAATTTAATAACTTAGTATTTTACATCATATACTTAAATCAAATATATTCCATATTAACTTACACAGCATTCTCAGACAAGGTGGACGGTCAAATTTAAATGAAACAATTAAAATCAGCAATTGAACCTGATTGAACCCTGCTCTAAATGCTTCCATCTGGCGCATGATTCCGGTCTTAACAGTTGCCTCAACCACCAAGGATATGTACAACTCTAGGTTATTGATGTCAACCTGAAAGTTCGACAGTAAGTTCAAAAAAAAAAATCATAACAGAGAACCAAAAAAAAAAAATGGAAAAAGAAACCGACTGAATACATACAATTGCATCTCCAGCTTTCAAGATGTACTCTGGATAACCAGGAAGTGTGAATTCCAAACAGAGATCTTCTATTGGGGCCCCACGAAAATGTAAATTAGAAACTGTATCAGTGTAGCTACCACCAATAGATTCTATATAATGTTTCCTGCAAACAACGGCATTTAACTCTTGCAGAGTTTTCCCAAGCTCGGCATCAATGAAAAGAATGTCATGCAGATCAAGCTCCTGTAATATATCAAAGGCTAAATATATATGAACTACAAATCATCCTAAAGATAAACCAATACACATGAAATCAGACAACTGACAAAACATTAACATTCCATAACTTACTTGACCAAGAACAAGCTTATAAAATGCCACTGACAATGGTAAATCCAACAGGCGCCCATCTTGGAGAGCCTTAGCCATTACACGACCTAATAGTCGGAAATATTCAATAACTTTAAAAAAATGGGTACTCTCTGATGCATCAGCATTTGCAGGCCAAGGTTGAGGAAACAGCCCAAGAGGAGCTTGAACAAGTTGTCCGTCACCAGCAAAATATCCCTCACTACTTTTCGTTTTCATTTCACTTCCATCAATTTCCATTGGATATTTCTCTGAAGAACCTGATCTCCACATCCGAAGTACATCTCTTTGTAAGTCATGACTGAGAAGTGTGTAGAACTCCAAGGTGGGACCCAGACCAGTGCCAACTTCACCAAAATATTCTACTTCAAGTACAGCCTTTTGACTAGAATATAACTCCATCACTTTGGCAGCAGAATCCAAAATACGATTTCGAGAAACCCGAACCTTTTGACGCTGCAGTCTCCCAACCCTGATCTCTCTTTCATTTGTTGATCCATGACCATCAGCACCCTGCTGCTGCTGAAGGCGGTACAGTGCACGAGATAACCCAAAGGCAGTTGAATAGAAGTACTGTCTTCGAGTCTCAAAAGGGAACAAGAAAGGGCATGCTTTAGTTAGCTGGTAACACCATGAGGGAAGACTCCCACTGCATAAGGCAAGGGCATCTTGTATTTGCCTAGCTAATTTTGGAGTAAGTTTGCTGCTTATAAATTCCTCAGCAGGAACCCTAGCACCAACAGTAACACTGAGCTCATCTAAATCCAAAAATTTTCCCTCTGCAAAGTTATCAGTAAGCACTTGGATCCTCAATCGAGACGCAAGTTGGTTCAAACCCTCCAGCACCCGCAATAATGCCAATATATTGTATGTAGGATTAGATTTCTCCAATTCGCAGGGCAATTCTCCCTGCAAAATGCTATCTAATACAGATGTCTGATGTAGCTTGGCTTCAGAACTAGAATTTGATACAGACCCAGATTTGCCAGATTTTGAAGCATTAGAGCTTGAACCTCCGAGGGGAGCCTTATCTGTTTGGTTCTCTGACCTCTGATAAGTTATAGTATAAATATCACCCCACAACCTGCTTCCATCACTGGATACATAGTCACTACTGCCAGCAAATCTCTCGTCGTCCTCTTCATCTTGCACAAGCTGTCTTTGAATTGCCTGATATATAGTCAAATTCCTATTAAGCTGCTTCCCACCAGCAGTAAATATCAACTTTGGAGGATCATTAGAACTACCAAATAATGGACGCCCTAACCGATCTCTTCCACCCCTGATACCTCTGCTATTGGCAGATCCCAGTCCAGTCATGGCAGCAGTAGCAAATGACATTGCACCTCTTGAACTTGAAGTAAAGCCACTAGCAGAGTCAGACCGCCTGGCTGTACCGACCTTGCTGCTAGAACCTAAGGCAGCATTAGTCTGGCCAGCATTTGTCCCAGGAGCAACAGCACTCTCCTCAGCTAAGTCACCCAATTTCACATCATGTACTTTATCAGGAGAGCACACAGGAAGAGAATCATCCCTCAGCACCTGGATTCAGAAAAAGTAAAACAAGCACAGAATCTGTAAAAACACTAGGATTGAGCTAGTGGTGAGTGGCTTGGGCAGTTTGCACATGGTCATAAAATCAACAATCTTCATTGCAACTATTGTACACACTGAAAAAAAAAATAATAATAGAATTTGCAAACAAGATAGACAGACTCCAGCACTGGTAATAAATATAAAGATGCACACAGCTTTTAACATGTCAAAAGCTATGTTGAACATGGAAAAACGGAATGGTGTCAGACAGCAAAAATTACAGTAGCATAACTATTCAACTTAAATGAGAAAACTCATAACCACGGAAGTAAGAAAGTCTTAGCCAAAGATAACATACATCTTCATGATCATCATCTTCATCATCAGAAATATCATCATCTTCAATCACCAATGCCTCATCAACCTCAGCAGGAGATATATCCAAATCTTCATCCTGCAACGCAATGTATTGGAAAATGTCAATAGAAAGGTAAAAAAAGACGGAAAACAATGACTACTGTTTAGATACTTCAGGCTTCTTTGATTAGGTTCATGATTTGGGCCAACGCAGAGCAGAAAAAAAAATGAGATAAGCATGCATGCATGTAAACCTGCAATAACAAAAGCAATAAAAAACAAAACAAGTATGATCTAAGTAGGAAAAATATCTAAACCCCACCCAAAAATAATCTAAAACATTTCCCAATAAGAGGGATGCAAAACTACATTTCATAACTGAAAAGTTTAATGTCAGAATAAAAAAATCAAATCTAAACAGTTTAAAGTATTTTATTTTGACTTTTGAGAGGCACCATACAAAAAATCCTGATACAATCACTTTAAGAAAGAAGGATGGGGATCAGCATATACCAAGTACCCATTTGATTACACCCAAATAAACCATTACAGCAATGCTCCTTAGATGCAATATAATAAGTCATTTAGGAACTAAAACACTTTGTCATGGAATCTTACAACAGCTTAATTTTAACGTAGAACTGAACTGTACGTAAAGAAATCAATGATGCCAAAAATCGTAAGAGCACCTAGGCAGTTTTTCTAAGATAAGAGATGATATATTATATAATTATAATCGAAGCTATTTATAAACTAAATGGCATAAGTAAAACATTTTAAGGATCAACAGACAAGAAAATTAAGTGTCCAAAGTTACAGATACACAGAAATTTCAGACGACATTCAAACTTGGTATGCAATATAGCAGCTTTGCATCTTATATTGGCATTATTAAGTATTCTCCATATATTTCACTTCAGAAGCTAAAATGAAGAAAGCAACATTCAAAGTCAGATTATACATGGCCATAAGGAATTGGAGAGAAAAATAAGAAAACCATCCAACAAAAACTAAATAATTAGAATTTATAAATTAACAGAAGAAAAAAACTGACGCATTGTAAACTCTTCCCAAGGATTTCCCAGAAAATGATATAACACGAATTCATATGTATGTAGGACACTGAAATCACACAAAAACATCAATACACGTGCTGTACCAGAGACAAAAGTCTCCAACCACATGCAAATACAGCAATACAAGTGCTGTCACAGACAAAAGTCTCCATTCACAGACATAATTACCAATACCCTTGCTGTTATAGAAAGAAGTCTCCTACAGAAATTCTCTATCCACACACTGAAAATGACCTTACACTGCCTAATTACACAACACACCATCAGATGCATACTCCTAAATTCCTAATACATAGCTAGCAGCAGTTGTTTTCTATCCATAGCTACCATCCTACGGTTTCAATTAAACAGTTCTTTGAGTTTCTAATACAGCACTCATTTCTAAAGCAGTTGTTTTCTACACATAACTGACCCTAACTCAGTTTCTATCCGTATACCTCAGAAGTAGATGTTTTTTAGAACAGTTATTTGAGTTTCTAATACAGCAATTATTTCTAAAGCAGTTATTTTTCTACACATAACTGACCCTAACTCAGTTTCCAACAGTATACCTCAGAAGTAGAGTCACCATTTACAGGCTTTAAGGGAGCATCTTTATCAAGAGCTGCCCTTCTGCGAGTTGCGTTCCTGGTTTGAGGTCCTCTTGCCTCCTCTTGGGCAGGCTTTAATACAGCTTTTCCCTTCCCCTTAGAAGAGCTAGTGCTTTTATCTTGAGTTATATCCTTTCTCAATGTGTCACCTATATTAACAGATGATCTGCATCTAGTAGAATGATGACGGGTAGTGGAAGGAGAGGATACACCAGGTCCTGCAGGAGTTGTCCCCGATTCAGAATGCCCAGCAGGTACATTGGACTTCTGACCAGATTCACTTCGTTGGATACGAGACCAAAGAAATTCCTCAATGGCTGCTAAACTTGCCAACGGATCAACCAGTACAACATTGGATGAATAATCCCTAAGTGACTTTTCACCCTGGGCTCGACAAAGCCGCAACTTGAAGGGATGAGATAATGCACTTAGTCCAGAGGAGAGGCGTGCACTCCCACTAGATGACCTAGATGAATGACTCAACACGACAGGGAAACGCTCCAAGGAAGACAAGGCATTTTGAAGCTTCTGGACCAAGACGGTCATAGGAGCCACAGTCCCAACCTCGGTGGTGGAAGGTAGTGCCACAGCTATAAATAACTTAAACCTTGTAAGTGCTTGTTGGCGAAGCTTTGGAAGGTGGATATCTAGGGGTTTATCTTTAGAGAAGTACCCACAAGAAAAATAATTCAACAAAGCTGCAACAACACCACTACCAATAAATTCAAAAGTAGATACCCCATCACCTTTGCCAAGTTCCTTTAGCATGTCAGCTATGACCCCAATTAAATACTCTTCCAGAACAAACCCAGAAGATTTAGATTTCCCCTTTCCATTAGTCCTTTGTTCATCCGCACCAGCATCTAACTTCATGCAAAGATTTTTCAGATTCAAAAGATCATCAGTAATGCCAACATCAGAAGCCCCAGGGTCCGAAGGAAAGTACTTATCTTTAAAAGCTTTTGCAGCTGTACTAACAGACAAACGAATAGTAGAGTTTACTGTTGGAATATCCACAGAACTTGGAGGCGAACCAACATTTACTGAAACTGGAGGCTTCAAATCGTCCAAAGGATTTCCATCAGGATTGGAACTTACACTGCGTCGCCGATAACGCCTAGAGCGAGATGATGCTCCAGATATAGAATCATTATCCTTCTCAGTAGAAGATGCCTGTATAGAGATATTGGTAGAATTTCCGGGTAAAATAAGTTGGTCCACTGCATGCACAACACCTTCTCGAATGAACATCTTGGAAAATGTCACAGGAAGCTTTTCCATAAGAATTTCAGCAATTTTCAAGGCAGGAACCAACACATGTGGATCTTTCCATGCTAGCACACCAGCTAAGAAACTATACAATCAAAGAGAAAAAGCATAAATTTTCTAAACACAAAAAATCCATTAGGATACCGAGCAACATCCACCCAATTAAATTTCTAGATACCTTGATATATTCGTCACACTCAACAAAGACTGGATCATCTCTGCTGTGCTGAAATACATCAATTTTCCAACAACAGAAAGACATTTGTGCCGAACAGGACCATTGACACTAGAACCATATATCTGTATCAAAGCCAAGACAATACAATCAATTAAACCAAAGACAAAAAAGGGGGCAAAAGCGCAATTTATAAGAACTAGTTTTCAATTTAACAAATTATGAAGCAAAATTTAAGCAATTGATCAATTCACCAAATGTCAACCTGTATTAAAACAGGGAGAAGATCCATAGCAAATTGCTGAAGTAGTTCAGGCTGGTCATTTAATAGTTTCTCACGGGCTGATATCTCAGGAGCATTTCCACTTGTATCTTCTTGTTTCCCAGAGGTACCAGCAGGAGACTTTCTTACAATGGGCCCTTTCAAAAACATGTTGGAGATGATAGGGAGAGAAATTGTTCCTTGTGGCAATGGGGGAAGAAGCTCATTTGCTAGGTTTACAATCTCAAATATCTATATATTAGACAAAAGAATTAGAATAATTTCATCTCTTCACAAATGTAACAAAACTGGAAATATCAATGCCTTAAATAATGGTGCATTACGGTCAGGTCAAAGTCTGTTTAAGAACCAGTACAAGATAAAATTACACATGAATGACCAAAATAAGAGTTCTGATTACCTGCTCCGGGGGCCTACTTAATGCAGGAGAAACAGAGGAATTAGAAGAAACTCCAGAACCAGATAGAATATCTTTAAGAATACCACTAATTCCGAGTAGTAGTAAAGTTTTAGCTCCAAGAGGGGATCCACTCGCACAAGTTGAAAGAAGTCGGATTAAACCCTGCATATGCCCAAGTCAAGGACAAACAACTACAGGCAAAATTCATCTGAGACTTGAAGCACATATTGCACTTACAGTATATGTTGGTGTGCTGAGAGATGCCTGACCACCCCCAGAACTGCTGTTAGAGATGAGGGAGGCAGCTTGTGTTACCAGTCCATGGTTGCACAATTCATCTAATTTGTCAGGAGATGACGCAAACGCTTCAGCTATTCGAGTCAAACAAACAGAGGCATGTTCTAGAACCTACAAAAATTGATAATGCATGAGATGAAGGTTTAGTTATATAATTAATACTATGGGATATTGGATCAAAATTTCCCTCCTCTTGAAGTAAACTTTCTTAATAGGCAAATTTATGGATGCAAAATAGAAAATACAGTTTCCATTATGAGACAACACTGACAACAAAACATGACCTTACCTTGGCATCATGATAATGAAGAAGGTTTGTCAGAAGAGGAACAGCTTCCATCACAAAATCAGATGCATCTGATGGAAGTTTCTTGCACATATTGGCAGCAGTAGACAACGCAACCCGCTGAAACAAAGAATAATGTCAACATACTCTTGCTCACTTAAGAAATCTATGGCCAAATGAATTATGCAATCTATAATCATCCACTAAATTTAGTTCCTTCACTGACAATTTACCTGAACTCCTGTAGAAAAAAAGTCCAAATAAGAAAGCACGGCCATAAGAGCACCTGCTCGTAGGCAGGCAGTGGGATGCTCTTGAGATATCTTTTTCAGAGCCTGAAGGGACTGTTCATGCCATCAAACACAGTAATCAAACTATAAGAATTCTGTCTTCAAAATGCTACGTTGCCGATAAAAAAAATACAAAAAAATCTTCTACAGCTGAAAATATGGCCCGGAGAAATTGTAATTTATAATTTTTTAAACTAGACAGCACCAGAGTTCAACATTGAAGCACATAATATTTATTTTATAAGTTTTTAACCCCGTTTTCATTAATCCCACAACAGTCATGAACTAAGGAACAACCTGCTCAGCCAAGTCCATGTATTCTATGGTGAGCAACCTCGCACAGAAGATTGACACTGCACCATAATGAACAACAGCAGCACATGATGAAGGCAGCACGTCGCATAGATGAGTTAATGCTCTGGCAGCAAGAAGCATGATGTCGGGATTGTTTTCGTGATTCAACAAACCCACAAGCACAGGAACAAACGAATCAACTGAGAATGTACTAAGCGATTCTTCAGTACCAATTGAAAGCATTTCACAGAGTTGCGTCAGCGCTTCAACCTGCCGCCCTTCTTCGCCGTCTGCTCGCAACCCAAAAAGGATCTTTTTCAGCCTTCCATTCTGGTGAGAGGAAGATGCAGAACCCATAGCAGAAGATGGGAGCAGATCATCCAACCCAGCTCCAAGCTTCCGAAGAAGTCCCTGAAGTGCACTACTCGCAGAGGTCAAATTTTGATGCAAAATCCCCACACCACCTTCACTGTCATTATCATCATCCTCACCACCAACATCCATATTCAATGCCAGCCCTCTGTCAGCATCTCTGTCCCTAATCCTAACATCGTGTTCTTTTTCCTTACCCTTGTCGGAGTTGTCCTTGCTGCGGCGATCACGGCGGGAACCAGATGATTCATTGGCAGAGTCCATGGGAGGAAGATTCTTCGGAGGTAAGGGTTGTTCCTTAGTTCTGGATGCACGAGAGCGAGTGTTGACAGAAGAAAGAGATGCGGTGGCGACGGCGGAAGCAGAGGAAGAAGAAGAGAGACGCGGTCGCTTGCTGGAACGAGTGGTGGGACCAGAGGAAGGGGATGAAGGGGCAGCTGAGGAAGCCTCCGCCCGCTTCCGGCTCCGAGTTTCCATACAAAATCCACCCAACCCGCAATCTATCAACTCGCTCGCCACCGAGCGTCAATCACGCTTTCATCCGCCCAGTAATCCCTCCCATGGATCGAATCTTGGTTGGTGATACGAACCGACTCCACACTTTGAAACCCTAGAAACTGCAGATGATGGAATTGGACGGTTTTGGAACAAGGCGTTCAGTGAGATTTCGGAGGAGTGTAATCAACAGACACAGAGATTTAGAGGTAATAACGAAAGCGGGTTGTTGCCGGAAAACCCTAAGCCACGGAAATGGGTAAGAGAAGAAGAAAAAAAAAAATTGAAGAATAAAGGATGAGAATAAACTGAGCCTTTTATATGTAACTTTCTTTGCTTTTTTTTTTTAATATTAAAATTAAAATTTTGTTCAATGGTGGTCACTTACATCGAACTGAACTAGCTACGCCCCTTGGTGGCACTGTCGCACTGTGGCGCGTGTACTTCCTTCCCTCACGACGTCGTTGAACGGACACCACACTAACAAATCATGCATATTCGTTGAACCGTAAAATAAAACTAAACTTAGGTTGAACTGAACTATGTAAGATATGTTACATTATGAGCTTTTGAACTTACTAACACAATTTACAAAATTATAATGGAAAAATATTATACTTCAATCAATCAAAATATATTATTATACTGTTTTTAAATAAAAATGAAGATAAAGCATAGTTATTAAGAAAAACATATTTATAAGTAGATGCATATTTATAAGAGCAGAAGGGCTTGATTTTTGTGTTGAGCATCTGGGTAGATGGTAATATGTAAAGTTGAGGCTTTGGAATGTAAACTGAGGAAACCAAAATCGATTCTCAAGTACTCACAATCGATTTTTATCAAAGAATAATTTATTCATCTTTAAATTCTTTTTATTAAAACATTTATTTTATTATTCACTCTCATCTCTCACAATTTTTCATAAATATATATTTTTTTTTTTATCATCTTTCTCTTAATTCAAACAAGACTTTCATTTTTATTCCCCTTCAATTTATCATTTTCTATTCCCTCAAGTTTATTCTCTTGTCCAAAGTAAATATTAATATAATATTTTACATGCTCACCGTAATATTGATTGAAATTAAATGATATGTCTTCTCTATTTAAAAGTTAAAAATATATAAATATTTTATATGATTTTTAACATGTAACTAAACGTCCTCACCCAAAATTTGACAGAAAATTTGAATTGATGGGCAGAAATGGTAATACAATTTTCATCCTATCTTTATCATTAGTATCGACTTTATATTTAAATTTAAATTTAAAAATATTAATATTTTAAAAATATTTTATTTTCTTTTTCTATTATATATAAGGTTATTTTTTTATATTTCATAATTTTTATTTTTCTTCAATTTACTTTTTAATTTTTTTTTGTCTTTTTTAATCATTTATATCAATTAGTTTATTGTATTATTATATCTCTTACCTTTCAAAATTTCACATTTCCTTAATCTCTCAAATCAATTTATCTTCTTTTTTTCAATCTTTTTAACCAATTTGATGAACACAAAGTTAATTTTTTTAATATTTTTTTAAATATTTTACATATTAGTAGTAACTAATATTATTTTATTTATAATTTATATTTATTAGATTTTATTATGTCATATTTTTTTATCTTATTATTCTTATTTGTCATATATCAAATTTTATCTTAATAAAATAATTGTATTTTAAATGATTAAAAGGAATTAATAATTTAAAATTTTATTACTTTAAATTAATTAAATAAGAATTAACTTATTATTTTTTTTATAAACTATGTATTTCATATTTTTAAATGACAACTTAAAAATAAATTAACATATACATATAATCAAATGTTTGAATATAATAATAATAATATTATTATTATTATAAGTATTCAAATATTTAAATACAGTATTATAATAATAATAATAATAATAATAATGTTATAAATATTATATATATATATATAAATAAATAGAAAATATTTCTTTTACATACATATTTTAATATAAATATAAAAATTTAAAATATATTATTTACATATAAAAAATATATAGTAAAATTAATTTATTATAAATATAATTATTTAAAAAATATATATATATATAGATCGGGAACAAGACAGAAACGATGATAGAGATTAAGACTTAATTTCTAACTGGGACAAGAATCGAAAATGAGAACAAGGATGATTAAAAAAGTCGAGAGTAGAAATTGGAAAGACAAAACCGCTCCCAGTTGTCATGGATTGCATTAAAAGTTAAGTTATTAATTTAAAAAATCTATAATGTATATTTTTATAATTTTCACCATTTTACTCTAATATTTAATTTAAACATTTTTGTATTTTTGTATTTTATTTACTCTTCAAGGTTTTACAGTGTGCCTACATCTCTCGGATAAAATATAATTTTGTTTTGTTTTATTTTTTTTAAGCCACAGTTTTGATTTTTTTTTAATATAAATGTTATTGATTATAATTAAAATGAGTGCATATTTTAAATTTGTTTAACCTTAATGATAAAATATTAATTAATAAATAATAAGACAAAACTTAAATATAATTATTATAAATGTTTTGAAGACATTAGTTTAGAGTGGATAAAATATTAATTAATAAATAATAAAACAAAATTTAAATATAATATTATAAACATTTTTAAGCCATTAGTTTAGAGTAAATTATATGAATAAATATTCTATCAATAACATTATTACGAAGTTAGATTATTTAAATAAAGAATCATTTAAAATATTTTTGGAATATAAAATCTCGAATTAATTTTATAAATAATATGAATTATTTAAAATAAAAAATAATTAAATATAATTTTTGTCAATTTATCTACTAAAATAAATCTATTTATTATTTATATGTAATTTTTTTTCTTCCTATAATTTTTTTATTCATTTATTATTTTTATAATTTCACCTCGCATAATTTATTATTCTCTTTTCACTCTCACTTATTCTTCTAATTAAAAATATTAAATTAAAATTACATAAAACATATATTTTTAAATCAATATTAAAATAAAAAATTTCAATTAGTTATTTAAAACTATAATGCTAATAAATAATTTTATTTATGATTGTAATAATTATTTTTATTTATGAAAATAGTAAATAATTAATTTAAAAATATTTTATCATAATAAGTTATTTATTCTTCTAATTAAAAATATTAAATATTTATGAGTTAAGTTTAAATTTTAGTTAATCATTTAATTTAGATATAATTAGGTTAGATAAGTAATTTTAAAAAATCATTATTAAAAGTATTTTTTGTCTATGTCAAATAATATATTAAGTTTTTATTTTATTTTATATAATAAAAAGTAAATATTATAAATATTTAATTATAAAATTGTAGATAAAAAATTGCAGTTAAGTATAAATTTTTAAATAAAATTGCTAAACTGTGTGTTAAGTTAAAACTTGAATGCAAAATACAACTTATACCTAAAAAATTAGAAATGAAACTTTAATAGTCGAACCAATAAAGTAATGATTATTCTTTTTGCATTTTTATAGTTTCATTTTGCTTCTATATTTAGTTTAAAAAGATAATATTATTTTCATGTTTTTTTTTTTACTTTTGTAAGTATAATATGATCTATGAATCGGGGATTATAACGTTTTTTAAGTTTTAAATAAAATAATCTGAAATATATTAAAAAAATATTTATTAAAATTTTAAACAGTTGAATCTGAAAAATCTTCATAATTTGTTTATAAAATGAGAATTGTTTGATAAGATATTTTAAATAATTTTCATTAAAAGAATTTTATCACCTTAAATTCTAAAACTCTAAACTAATGATAAGTTGTTTAAATTTTTTATAATTATTTTATTAAATAATTAAAGATAAATTGTTTACAAATTATTTTTAAAATAAATTATTTAAAATAATAGAATATAATAAATTTATATTTTATATTTTTTAAGATAAGAAAGTTTGTTTCGTAATTTCCGTGTAGATTGTCTTTCATTGTTGTCTTTTTCTTATATTCTCTAATTGTTCGGTCACGCTAATGATACGTTTCATTGGTAATGGTAGCGCAGAATCTATTGCGAAGGTATTGGGTGATGCCAAAGAGAAAAAAGTGACTCTATGTCTAAGTATGGAAGTTTATCTCTACATATCACAATTTAATATTTATATAAATACTAATATCTATTAAAGAAAACATGAGTTGCATTCACGTCCATAAAAAAAGAATGGTTATTTTGAATGAACCCTAACTATAACAGCAGGGCTAGGGTTTAAGAACTGGATGATGATGATGACCTCTCCTTCTCCAACGTGTCAACCGGTCAAATTGCTGAATTGTAGTTGCAATTGAAATACCTACCAACACCACCATCTTCTTCCATATCTACGTTACTTTTTTTTATTCTCAAACTGTTTCTCTAATTATACATGTTCTAAAGGGGTAACCACCACAATAACATAACATTCTCTCGTGCACTTGGAACGTCACAAACTGTAACATAAAAGAGTCATCCATCAACTCTTTCTGACTTTTAATATTTTCTACTTATCTTAACACTTTTTTATACGCTGTTTAAATTTTTTTTATTTTTATTCAAAATTAAGTTTTGATTTCGTTTATTCTCAAGGTACTGTGAGAGATAAATTCCTGTCTTATTTCATATGGAAACTAGCCAGGTGTCGTGTATCCGCATGGAGGCATTGGCTGTCACGGTTACCGTGAGGTGAGCTGGTCGAAACCCATACCGACAACTTCCCATGCACGCCACGTGTATAATTAATATAGTTTATTCCATTTAACTTCGTAATTAGTTTGATTTTATGGATGCCTTGCTTTCGGCATCGTCTCTGGGTGTTCAATTGCTTCCCAGTTGGTCTTGGACCGTTTCATTGACCTGCCCCACCTTTGCCATAAGGACAAATACATCAACCATTTCTTCTTCGTTTCTTTTCTTTTCCTTCATCCGTCTCTTCAAAATTTTGTTTACACTAACTCTGTAGTAGTAGGAATGGTGAAGTAGAGGAGAGGAATCTCGATCTGGGATAGGGTGTTGCTGAAGGAGTAATAATAAGGATCGGTTGGAGATGGGTTTCTTTAGTACCATTTTGGGGTTTTTCGGATTTGGGGTTGGGGTTTCGATTGGTCTTGTGGCTGGGTATTTTCTATTCATCTACTTTCAGCCCACTAATGTTGAGGTATCTATGCGTGTAGTAGCAATCAAAATATTTTTCAAGCATTGTCCTCGCGTTTGACTTTGATAGCTGTTATTGTGGTTTGGACAGGATCCTGAAATCAAGCCATTGGTGGACCAAGAGCAAGAGACTTTGCAGCGGATGTTTCCAGAGATTCCTCTTTGGATAAAAAATCCGGACTTCGATCGGGTAACTAAACTACCCAATTGCTTCGTTTGTTTCTTTTTCTTGCTTTATGATTCGGCTATTGAACTAATCTGTTTCAACGTTTCTCAAGCTTGACTGGCTGAACACGTTTTTTCAGTATATGTGGCCGTATCTCGATAAGGTTTGTAGTTTTGATATGCTTTACCTGGGCTTTTGATTCTTCTTGTTTCTTCGTTGTTTGACTGTAGAGATGTTTTGAATTATTTATTAGGCAATTTGCAAGACTACCAAGAACATTGCAAAACCCATAATTGCTGAGCAGATTCCTAAATACAAAATTGATTCAGTTGAATTTGAAACTCTCACGCTGGGTTCACTGCCGCCAACTTTTCAAGGTCAGTAGATGTGGACATGATGCATTATTAGGATTTTGCCAGTGTTTTTGTGATCAGTGTCAGCTATTTTCATCGAGTTTTTTTTTTTTTTTCTCCTTTTTAGGGTATACCTAGAGGTATAGTCCACCACCGGGTCGGTCCATTGAAATTGAAGAAAACTTGATGTATTAGATGATGCATTTTCCCATAAGATTCCCTGTTAAGTGTCACTTGTTATGTGAGTCCGTTGTTAAAAGTCTTAAGATGACTCTTTTAGGTCTTCATTTTTGCAATAAAGGGTTATTTGGCCTTTTTCTTTTCTATTCCATGTTATAATTGATTTTTATCTCGATAACTTATTTTTTATGTCGAATGAATATTCCAAATACTTCTTTTGTTGAATGCGCATTGTAGGAATGAAAGTTTATGTGACTGATGAGAAGGAGTTAATTATGGAGCCTTCTATAAAATGGGCGGCAAATCCTAATGTCACTGTTTCTGTTAAAGCATTTGGGTTGAAAGCAACTGTACAGGTGACTTTGTTGTGTTTGCATGTGTTGGTAAAATGCGGATACATAATTTTTTTCCCTTCTCACTAAGATCTCTTATTTATTTTCAGGTTGTGGATTTGCAAGTTTTCCTATTGCCTCGTATTACCTTGAAGCCTTTGGTTCCTAGCTTTCCTTGCTTTGCCAACATATATGTCTCTCTCATGGAAAAGGTTGGTGATTGTTGGGTGTATTACTCCAGCTCACCTACTCTGCTTACACACTTGAACATGTGATGAAAGAAATAACAATTATTTGATAGTGTTGTCATGGTTTTAGCCAACTGTAGCTATATTTGAGACAATATTCTTTCACTGGAGGAGTGGTACTTGAGAAAATTGTTTAGGGTGAAAAAAGACCGTGTCAAATGACACTAGCATTGTTATATTTATGTACGAGAAAGAATACAAAAAGAGGTTGGGCCTCAGTCCAACCCCAGTCCTAAACTTAGGAACATACATAAGAAAAATTAAAAATACAACATATTTTAAGATTTCCCCTCAAGCTACCAGATATAGATTTTATGCACCAAATTTGGAATATGTAAACTGAATCCTAGGTCTTCTTAGAGATTTAGTTAGAATGTTTGAGTTGCTTATTAGAGTTCACAAACTCAATAATGAGTTCCTTGAACTTTTCTCTAACAAAATATTTATCGATCTCAATATGTTTTGTTCTCTCATGAAACATTGGACTAGAGGCAATGAAGAGCCATATGATTATCACAATATAGCTTCATGTACTCGTTATTACAACATTTCAATTTTTTAAAGAGTTGTTTAATCCACATAAGCTCACTCATAGCAAGGGCTATAGATCTATATTTAACTTTTGCACTAGATCAAGTAACAACACTTTGTTTTTTACTCTTCCATGAAATCATATTCCCTCCAATAAATATACAATATCCAGGACTAGATCTTTTATCAATGAGACAACCAACCTAATCTGCATCACAGTATCCTAAGATTTGAGTATTATTGTTGTCTTCATATAACAATTCTTGTCCTACAACCACTTTTGCATATTTGAGAATGCAAATCAAGGCATTCTGGTGATCAATGGTAGGATTTTGTATGAATTGACTAACTACTCCAACTACATACGAGAGATCTGGTTTGGTAATAGTGAGATAATTGAGTTTTTCCACCAATTTCCTATATCTCTTTGGATATGAGAAATTTCACCTTTGTCTCCCATTAATTTTTTATTTGAATTCATTGGACTATCAATGGACTTGCAATTTGTCAAACCTGTCTCCTTCAAAATATTAAGAGCATATTTCCTTTGTGTGATGATGACACCTTCCTTTGATTAAGTCATTTCAATACTAAGAAAATACTTCAAATAACCAAGATCTTTGGTCTAAAAGTGATCAAACCAATGTTTCTTCAGTTGACTAATCTAGGTGAAATAGTTATTTGTAATAATAATATCATCAACGTAAATCATAAGATAAACACATTATTAAATTAGACTCTCCCTGAGCAACAAATCCAAGATGTTACTCCTTATAAATTTCTTCCTCAAGGTCACCATGAAGGAAAACATTCTTAATGTCAAGTTAGTGAAGTGGCCAATGACGAATAGCAAGAAAGAACTGAATAGTGAAAATCTTAGCTACAGGATAAAAAGTATCACAATAGTCAAGACCATAAATCTAAGTATAGCCTTTAGCTACTAAGTGAGCTTTGAAATGATCCACTTCACCATTAGGACCAATCTTAATTGAATGGACCCATCCACAACCCATAGTCTTCTTGCTAGGAGGAAGAGGAACAAGTTCCTAAGTATCATTGTGTTAAAGAGCCTGTATTTCATCAATCATGGTTTGTTGCTATCTAGGATGATCAAGTGCCTCATGAACAGGGTGGATAAAAATTCATATCTATCTTTCATTAATTAAACCCAAGTACATTTAGAAAATTTGATAATGAAGGTTATAAAATATCAAAAACCAAAATAGCTAACAAGACTCGGTCCCCAAATATCAGAATAAATGTTGGAAAAAGCAAAATTACATTGAGTTTTAAACTAGGAAATGTAGACCTAATGTGTTTTCTTAGTTGACAAGATTCACATTCTAAGATCCAAAGTTGTTTGAGATTAGGAATCATCATTTTCAACTTTGATAAACTTGGATGGTCTAAACGATCATGCAAAAGTTTTGGAGTAGGAGTAGCAAAACACGACTCAGAGGGGCTTAGATTCAAGTAATAAAAACCTCATGATTTATGTCCTTCTCTAATTAGACGACTTGTACCATGTTCCGAAATAACTAAAGAATTAGAATTAAATGATATAGAAAAACTCAGATAGCGTGTCAATTGACTTAGAAAAATCAAGTTATAAGGACAATTGTGAATGAAGAATACAAAGTTTAAATTTAGTGAACAAGATCAAGGAACTTTACCGACTCCTTGAGATATATCACTTTGGATCCATTGAAGAAGATTGACCCTGATTGTTGAACTTCTCATATCTGAACATCAAAAATAAATCTTAAAATATGATTTTTTTCAGATTTAGAAACATGGGCAACGTTTTCAAAAAATCCATGCAAGGAATAACAACTTTCTTGTGTATGATTTATTCTCTTGCAATAAGAGCATGGAGGACTACCCCTCGTTCATGAGGTACAAGCATAACTGATGTTTCAATAGCTTGAATTTGATTCTCATTCTTCATCAAGTTGGGTACACGAATAAGTCTTGTGACTAAATTGTCCATTAAAGGAACCTGATCACCAACCAAGATTTGATCATGTACATGATCAAAATCAAAATGTAAATTTTTCAAAATTAGGACCATGTACAACTTGTCAAGTTTCTTATTAAGTTCTTTCAAGGTGTTTGCCACTAGAAACCTATTTACTTCTTCCATAACACATTTGGCCTTCGCAAAATGAGATACCATATCAAGAGAAGTTACACTTTGGTTTGCATCAAAGAGACATCGAATATCGTTTGCAAAATTATTTTGTGCTTTCTTCCAAAAGGAAGAGCATGTCTTGAAGGACCTGAGAATTTTTAGAACCTTCGGCTCAACTGATTACCATAAAATTGCACAGAGTTTAAAGTTAATCTTTTGCTATTGAGGTCTTTTGAATAAAAAATGGAACTAGCTTCAATCTCCAAATGGTCATACCCTTGACTTAGGAGCCAAAACTCCATAGAGGTAGACCAAGATAAATAATTTTTCTAGTTGAGTTTGACACTGATAATAGTAGGAGTGATTGAAAAAGAATAACTTGCTGTAGACATCTAAACAGAGAATACAAGGTAGGAAAACCCTAAAGGACCTTGAAATAGAGAAATAAGGGTAGCGATGGAGATAGAATGTGCTGACAAGACAAACGTCAATAACATGACGTGATTTTGGTCATTGGAAGGCGGTGCATGAGACTCACATGCCTAACACAAACTGGGCTTCCATCGGTGTGTGAGTGAATGGCATCGCAATTGGCAGGGTTGGGTCGCCCACCAAATCGTGGCTTGGTTGGTAAGAATGGTGCGATTGACAATGGATAGTGGCCTTAGGTGGCTGGAGATGACCTGTGACGAAGAAAATCAATATGGGATCTTACTTTGATACCAACTTGAGAGAAGTGTTTAAGGTTAAAAGGCAGTGTCAAATGACATTGGTATTGTTACATTTATATATGAGAGAGAATACAAAAAGAGGTTGGACCTCAACCCAAACCCTAAACCTAGGAATATACATCATAAAAATTTAAAATAAAACATATTTTAACAATTTCTAGTTGGAATTAGCGTTGGTAAGAACCCCTTACTGGATGGTTGGAAATTATGCTCTCATTCCAACCTACTTGTGCGCAAATACAATGCATGATCTACCGATTGAAAATACTTAAATGCAGGATATATTTCTGTCTTATTTTGTTGCTTGTACATTTGAATTGCTATTTTGTCTCCATAATGTCTTGAATGTTTTTAATAATGTTGTTTGCAAGATCTATAATTGTTTTTTTACTTTTTAGCATACTAGTCGTGTATTAAGGACCACTAACTTCTGGAAATCACAATCACAACTCCCTTATCTGATAACCTTTTCACTTGTCATGTTTAGAATAAAAAAAATAGTCATAGCCATCTATGTTTACACATTTAAAACTGTAAGGTGGCATTCAAAATATTTTGAAATTCTAGGACTATTATAGTGATGACCCAATTATCAAGTTTTCACCTGTTGTTGACAACATGTTCAAATAGCTTGCTTTCCTTTCATTTTAGTAGTTTAGCAACTTTAAATATAACTGAGACTATGTTTTTTCTCTTCTAGGGTGGGCTATTTCCATGTGTAAAAATGATTTGTGATTGTATGTATTTTTTGTTTGATGCTTATTATGATGATATCCGGAGTTGTTCTTGTGATTTTATGATAACCTAGACAATATTGAAATTCTTGCATTTTTTCTTCCTGCTTATAGATAATTAATTTGTTATTTGATTTTATTTTAATGTTAACTTTGGTTTTGTTTTCTTCCTGCTCGAATCAACATGTGATTATTTTATTTATGGTACTTATCTTCTCTTTGGTTCTGGTGTATATTATCTTGTAGCCACATGTTGACTTTGGGCTAAAGCTCATAGGGGCTGATCTTATGTCTATTCCAGGCGTCTATAGGATTGTTCAGGTACAAGTTGGCATTTTTTTTAGCTGTTTGTTTGCATGGTAGACTTGCTTACATTTTGTTTTCCACCCTTTAAGCCAGAGTGGCTACTGCCCGATAGTATTACAGTCTCACCTGTGGTAGATATGAAGAATTGTTTGCTGATGTAGATTTTATTCTGGAACAAGTGAAATTATCAGCACAAACCATTGATTTGTGTTTCCACAACACATCTTACTTGCAGAATGATGGGAGGAATTATCATGGAACAATTTCTGGCATCAATCTGGTTTCAGTGGTTGCTCATGATAGATAGAATTTTGATTGCTAAAGGAAATTAGAACTTCTGTGTTAGTAATTGAACTGACTTGTATAATGTGGATGTGGACATCAAGAAATACAATAGGTAATCTAGAGGTCTGAAATTGAATGGTTTGTGGGCATTGTAGGTGTTATCTTACAGTTCATTGAGGGTATAAACAGGTCTTATTGGTTAGAGTGGTCCAATGGTGTGCTATTATCATTTTTTTATTGAAGCCAGCTACTAGTGTGGGTATTTTCTTCTCTGGTAGAATTGAATGCTCGCCTAAAATTCATACATCTAGTCAATTAGTTATAAAAGTATCATTTGATTGGAAGCACGTGTGCATTTGAAGTCTTTTATTGGTATCTTTAATTCCTTCCATTCTTTCGATTACACTACCTTATTTATGTATGTTTACTGTCACAATCGCTCCTGATTGAATTTTGATCAGGAAACTGGTGTTAGTATTATGTATAGAGCATATGCAATGAGTTGTTTAGCTTATGGTGTGCATTTGTGATTTATGCTTTTATAACATCCAATTTTTGTTATTTACTGAGCTTATTTTGGTTTGTTTAAGTATTCACTGCTTTTAAACTAATTCAAAGAGTTTTGTTTTCAGGAGATAATCAAAGATCAGGTTGCAAACATGTATTTATGGCCCAAAACCTTGGAAGTTCCAGTTTTAGATATGTCAAAGTATGCTTCTTCATTTCTACAAATATTTATCAAATTATATTTTTATATTACCTTAACTCTTTTCTGTTTTTTCTGGCGAATGTTGTTGGGAATGTTAGAGCCTTGAAGAGGCCCGTTGGAATTTTACATGTAAAGGTTCTGCATGCAATGAAACTAAGGAAGAAAGATCTTCTTGGTGCATCTGACCCTTATGTTAAGCTAAAGCTTACTGAGGATAAATTGCCATCGAAAAAGACTACTGTTAAGCATAAGAACTTAAATCCTGAGTGGAATGAAGAATTCAATTTGATAGTTAAAGATCCAGACTCGCAGGTTTTAGAGATTAATGTTTATGACTGGGAGCAGGTAAACCTCTTGAACTACGAGTAGTTTTCTAGTTTCTTCTTATGATATCTCAACTGAATGTTGGTTTTGTGTCTTAGGTTGGAAAACATGACAAGATGGGTATGAATATGATCCCTTTAAAAGAAGTTCCCCCTGAAGAGCCTAAACGTTTTACCCTTGACCTCCTAAAAAACATGGATCCCAATGATGTCCAAAATGAGAAGTCTCGTGGGCAGATTGTTGTAGAATTGACATATAAACCCTTCAAGGAGGAGGATTTGGCCAAGGGGTTTGAAGAAACACAGCAAGTACCGAAGGCTCCTGAAGGTACTCCAGATGGTGGAGGTCTGCTTGTCGTTATAGTCCATGAAGCTCAAGATGTCGAAGGGAAGTATCACACTAATCCACATGTACGACTTATTTTCAGAGGAGAGGAGAAAAAAACTAAGGTAGAGAATCGCAAGAAGTACTTGAATTATTTTTTTATTTCTTCTGGACTATCTGTAATATATTAAATACCAGGCTCCCTAACCTTTCCACTGGAAGATAGGAAAAACCTCTTTACAAGCTTAGGTTTTAATATGCCTTAATGAGTTTCTGGAGTTCTTTACACTCAACTAATCCCTGTAGGCTGTTGCTAATAGACCCTACTTCGGACGGGTGGGGGTACGAAGGTTCAATTTGGCAAATCTCGTAGGGAATATCAGGAGCTTTTTAATAAAAATATTGCAATTTGACCTTTCAACCCAGCATATGGTATTGGTTTGCTAGTTTAACAGGTTGCTAAAACAACTGGTGTATAATGACATGGTTGATTTGATGTAATGGATTATTCACGTCTTTTGTCAAGTATCAAATTCATCAATTTTTTTATTAATATACCAAAAATAGAACGACCAATAAGATGGTGGGATGTACATTAATTTAGATTGATATTGGATTTTATGAAATGATAATGATACTGTGGTTTACTTTCACAGCGCATTAAGAAGAATAGAGATCCAAGATGGGAAGATGAGTTCCATTTTATGGTGGAGGAACCTCCCACCAATGATAGATTACACGTGGAGGTTCTCAGCACTTCAGCACGAAACCTGCTCCACCAAAAGGTAGATAATCATAGCAAGTCTTATGTCCAAATATCTAGTACATTATTATTAATATCGTACACTGTAGGAAAGGTACACATGATTCTAGCAAGTCTTAATGTTCTGAATATATACTGTAGAGATAGAAACCAAGCCAGAGCTTTATGCAAAAGTGAGAGCTAGACTTGGAAGTCTGAATTGTTGAAAAAAGTTGGTGTACTTGTGGGATCAACTCACATTTAATGATTCCAAATCCAAATGTGAAAATGTAGGCTGAATTATGCATAACTGGCTTTGGGTGATGTCATTTGCGATTTACCTGCATGTGCTTCCAATTAAAGCATTTTAACGCAACATGCTGAGTTATCAATTTTAATGGATGCTTAATAGGTTTATATATTTATGAAGTTGATTGTTTTAATTGGAAGCAAAGAAAGTAAATCACATGTCTCAAAGTGTAAGGGAGTTTTATATAACCCAGTCAAAATGTACGGTGGGGATGATTGTATTCATGTTTGTAGAATCGAATACAAGTGAAATTGTCTTCATTAGTTCATAGGAAAATTATTTTGAATTTTCGGGAGATAGGCAGTGAGAATCTTTGCTATGTTTTGCGGTAAGCTATACGCTCACTCATTAGTTTTTTGCAATGACTTAATTAGTTTTTGCCTTTCATTGCTAGAGTACAGATTTATATGCTCACGCATTCAACTTTATTGTAACACTTGACGATTCGTGGATCGAATAAACATGTCCTTTTAAAACAACACTGCTTTGCCTAATGCTTTGTTTTTTCCTTTCATGTTAATTGACATGACTGAGTTTTATTATCCCGTGCTCCTTTTGGCATTAGGAATCATTGGGTTATATCGACATCAATCTTGGGGATGTTGTTGCAAACAAAAGAATTAATGAGAGGTACCATCTTATAGACTCCAAGAATGGTCGGCTCCAGATCGAGTTGCAGTGGAGAACCTCGCAAGGATGATGATTAAATTCTCCGTCAATTTGTATTTCTGATTTCTTTCCCCACCCTCCTTTCCTTCTTTTAACTGTCTTGCGAGATATATTGGTTTTATTTGTGAATCATGTACATGTTTGTGATAAAAAGGGTCTGAAATAGCAAAAGCATAAATATGATTTGGTTGAAGACGACCTATATGATACTTATCGGACTTAGCTTGAACGATAATGTCAACTGAATCAATACATCATTCAATTGTAGTGGAAAATTATTCGTTGTTCAATTAAGTTTTATTTGTTAGTATTTTCGCCATGAACAACTTTAATTAGTGGATTCTTTTTAATTTTGACTTGGAAGCGTAAACGTTTTTCAATTGGGAGAATTCTCTTATTTGATTATTATTGATTAATAAATAATTAGTATTTCTAATCTTTCATTTGAATTTTTAATATATGTTCTAATATTCAAAGTGCAAATAAGAGAAATATATTAAAAATGTAAATTGTATGAAAAATAAATGTGATGAAGATAAATTATAGGAAAGTAAATTTGATTAATTATCAAAAGTATAATATAGAAATATGTAAACTAAGTTAGTAAAGATAATGATGCAAAATACAAAATTTTTATTGAAAATGTTTATTTTATCTAATATAAGTGTTTGTATAATTTGTCACGATTGTTACATAGTGGAAAATTATCTCTCAATTGCTTAATTTTTCTTCAATTTTTTTTAGATTATCACACTAGTATAATTTAAATAAATTTTATATATTTTTTATTTTTCTAAGTTTTTTATTTCTCTAAGTCCTTATATCTCAATAAATCCTTCTTGAAATATTTTTTGTTTTTTTTTATTTTTTTTAATCTTCTACTCCTTGATAATATTAATTGTCTTCCTCAATATATTTCCCGATTTCTCATTTAATTATCATTCTTTGTTTGATTATGTTATTTTTTTTCCTCTGAATTTTTATCTTTATTTCTTCGATACTCTTTTCATCATTACCTTTAATTTTAATTATACTTTTCATTTATACATTTCAATCCATTATTTTCTTAAATTATATATTTTTCAACTAATTCTTCAATTGTTTAAATTTTCTTATTTTCAATTACTTTTGATTCCCATAATTCTCCCTAAATTTTATACTTTTTCTATCTTTATCTTCAACTTTGATTTTACTGTTCTATTTCTATCCTTTGATCTCAATTTCACTATCATCATTTATTATTTTAAAACTTTAATATTTTTTTAAACTCTTTTTTTTATATCTCAATTTCACTATTATTATTTTTCATTTTAAAACTTTAATATTTTTTCTAACTCTTTATTTTATATTAGTAAATTTGTTAGTAAGCTTCGTGAATTTAGATGCAATGGAAGTAACAATTTTTTTTACCTGGTACTACGAAATTTAAGAAATCATAAGCAGCCAATCATGTTGGATTGGATTCAGTTTACAAAAGCTTACATCATCATTTCAGGAGGAATTTGTTTTGAAGGGAATTCCTCAAATTTTCATTTTCTTTTCATTTTAAAAAGCAAGCGTCTTTATTACCAATATCTATAATTTTTTTTTAAATATGTGTAAGATTAAAATAAATATTTAGGAAGTATAGGTGTTAGTAAAAAATCGATACAAGGATCGAAAAAACGGAAAAGATAAAATCGAAGATCATATGATTGGTTAAAAAGTTGATAAATCGGAAAGGTGGTTAGAAGACATTCGATGACCACCAGACAGCGTGAACATATAAATCGAGAATAGAAATCGAGAATCAGAAGATAGAGAAAATTCGATGAAAGTAAGAAATCGATGATAAAGTATGGAGTGTAAAGTCAAGGTTAAGGGAAATCATACTTGACAATTGGAATCAAGATCGAGGGAAACGGTTATCATGCATATGGAAACATGGGGAGTGGTTTTTCAAATCGTGGCTAAGGTTAGAAATCGAGAAACGGTTAAAGCGCACATGGAACGTGGAAGAGGTTTTCTAAACCGTAAGCTAAGGTAAAAATCGAGGAACGTGCACATGAAACGTGGCGATAGTTTTTTAACTGCTCTTGGGATGTTACATTGAAGGATGCCTATAAATAGAACGAAGCTTGAAGAAGAAGGGGGAAATTGGCAGAGAACAGAAACACAAATGAAAAGTCTACCGGAGAATGACGAATCATGAAGTTTCTGGCGATCTGGATTTCCATTCTCATTGACTGTTTTTACCGCTTTCTTTACTTTCCCTGGTAACTTATTTTCAGACATTTTACATTCATCAATTTAAGTTCCCATACTTTCAATTACTTGCCAGTTATCTTTAATGCAATTTAAGATTATGTATTTTCAAATGCTTGCCATTTACCGTTTCTGCAATTTCGATGTCTTGCCATTTACTTTCATGCAATTTTAATTTTGTCATTTACAGTTAATGCAATTTCGAGTTTTTCGTATTTACAATTTCCTGTATTCTAATATTTCGCACTGCTTTTGTTTTCTTTTCGATACTTTTTACTGCTTTCTTTACTTTGCGTTTCTTAATAAAATACCAAAAAGAGCACTTTCGATTTTCAATTTGTATGATCAGTTGCATCGATAATATTTCTCGATCTTGTGATATTTTCGATTACCATACACGTTTTGATTGAAAATTGTCGCTAGCCTGAGTGAAAAGAATCTATGTGGTTGAAATTTGATCAGAACCTAAGAAATCGAAATCGATCAAATTTTCACCAGAAACAAATTGGCGCACCAGATAGGGGAGAGTTGTGTCGAAAAACACAAAAAATTGGCTAGTTCGAAAGTGTATGAGATTAAGGAGTGGGCGAGTAATAAGAATGAGTCAAAATCCACCAAATAATCAGAAGAACAGTGAGATTTTAAATAGTTCACATTCACCAAACACTGGGGGGCAAGTTCACAATGAGAATATGCCTGTAATATCGACAATTGTGAGTACGTCGATGTCTGTGAGTGTTGAACAAAGCCCAGGCACATTAGCACACACTCAGTTAGGGTCTAGTACTGTAATGTCAAACAATATGCAAACTACGGGAAACCCCATAACAACATATGCAGGTCCGCATATGAGTGTAAGGTCGCCTGATTTTTCGTTTAATAATATGAATGGGGCTGGTACTTCTTCAATACAACGAAGTACGAGATTTAACCTAGGAATGCCCCAAAACTTAGGAACATTTCAAGCCTTAGGTATGCCTCAAAATTTTGGAGTATCCCCAAATTTAGGGGTGTCTCAAAATTTAGCAACACCCCAGAATTCAGGGAATGCGCAGAATTTAGGAACACAACAGACGCCTCCAATATCAAACCTAGATCACAGAGCAAACCTGGATCACGGGAGATATACATTCGATAGAGATTATCATCGATCCAATTTTGAGACTATCGAAAACACTAGTACTGGAATTTCCAGTAATTCATTAGGAGTACTTCAACGACAAATGGATGAAAGCAATTTTGAGATGGTTAACATGTTATCACAACAGTTGACTACAGTACTGAACCCATTAGTTCAAAACACTACCACTAGTTTTGAGATATTAGCGGACCAAATGACACGTATCGGGGATGCATTGGCAATACCTCGACAAACGAGGGTCGAAAATAATGCCAATCAGAATAATAACCAAAACGTTAATATCAATCCCCTTTATTTATTAAGGAGAAATCGAAACAATGATCAACATCAGCATGTGGGGAATGAATATCAGCAAGTGAGGAATGATACTTGCGGAAATTTAAATGAGGGATTTCAAAATATGTATAATCAGAATAACATGCAGTACAATCACATGCTGGGACAAAGGATGAATCCCCAAGGAGTGGAATTAAGATCACCCAATCAACTGTACTTTGTTTCTCCTTTTCCAAATACGATTCTCGAGACAGAATTACCTCGAGGATACAAAATACCCAAATTCACCAAATTTGCTAAAGAAATTGGTGAATCCACTATCGAACATGTGGCGCGATATCAAATCGAATGTGGGGACTTAGCGATGAGTGAGGAATTAAAAATGAAATATTTTCCTAGTTTGTTAATAAAGAATGTTTTCACTTGGTTTACTTCGTTGCCACCTAATTCGATTTATAATTGGTTGCAACTGGAAATAAATTTTCATGAGCAATTCTTTAGGGGGGAGACTCAAGTAAGTCTTATCGACTTAATGAATATATAGAGATATAATCATGAAAGCGTAGATGATTATTTGAATAGATTTAGACAAATGAAGTCGAGATGTTTTACTCAAATTCCCGAATTTGAATTAGTCAGAATGACCTCTGCAGGCTTAGAATTCTCGATTAGGAAGAAGTTAGTTAATTCACTGTTGAATGATATGGCTCAACTAGCTGATAAAGTGAGAAGAGTGGAACAAATCGAATATGAGAAACAGAGGTACAAGAAATTTGAGAAACATATGAAGAAAGATAGGGTAGCGTATATAAATGACATATATGAGGAAAATCCCAGGATAGAAGTAGATATTAAAGAATCTGTCGATGAGAAAGTAAATATAGCAGAGCTCAAAGTAGGAGCTCCATATATTTGTAAACTGCTACAGAAAAATGAAGTAAAAGACAAAATGACAAATCGCACATATACTTTTGATGTAACAAAGGCAGATAAAATCTTCGATATTTTATTGAAAGATAAACAGATTAAATTGAGTGATGATCATAAATTACCTTCTGCAGAACAAAGAAATAGTCGAAAATATTGCAAATTTCATAATATCTATGAACACTAGACTAATAATTGTATACATTTCAGGAACACGATCCAAGATGCGATCGACCAAGGAAGATTGAAGTTTGAGGAGATGTCAATGAAAATGGATACGAGTCCATTTGAAGTTCAAGTAGGATATGTCGAATCCCAGACGGGCATGACTGAAGATGTCCGATTGATAAATTCGACCTTTATAGGTATGGTCGATGTTACTGAAGACATTGATCCCAGACATGTCAGAAGAAGACATAGAGTTTGACCTAAGCGAGTTCGAG